AAATTTAACAAATCATCGCCCATTCAACGGCCATTGTTAAATGATACCATCTTGTCGTTCTTTGTAACACCCCCGCTTATCCCGTGAGTAGTAGTTGTGAAAATTCCCTTAGGTGGCTGCTTAATGCAGATTCTAGTGTATGTACAGAAGACAATAAATAACAAGACGTGACGTAATATAACAGGTGCAAAAATAAAGAAGTGCCAGTAGAGACGATCACAGACATTGACAGACGAATTTGGGACAAAATAGACATGAATATGGACGAACATTTAGACAAGCATAGACATTTACATACGGACATTTTGTCAAAACAGACATGATTGTGGGCGAACATTTAAACATAGTGACATAGTATGTACATATATATATATATATATATATATATATATATATATATATATATTTCTTTGGGTCGTTTTCGTCGAAACTAATAATAAACTAATTAGGAAGATAAATACTGAATAGAATAAAAATAAATAAATAAAGCAAAATAAAATAAAATACGGTAAAATAAAGTGAAGTAAAGTAAAGTAAAGTAATAAATTCAATATGGCACTCTTAATCATATATTCATACGGTTGAACGTATATATAGTTAGTACAATACAACACTATAAGAAATTACATGGATGTACAATCAATCGTTATTTAAGTATATATTTGATATAATATTAAGATGGGGCCCAAGGTGGTTTGCGTTACCCTCTTTTGGGGTCATTATTGCGCACCACCCTGCTTAGGTTGTTTTAATTGGTTTGTGTAGGACGGAACGTTTCCCTTGTGGGGACATTTTTGCGCCCCGCCTGAGAATAGGCCCTAACCTAATTAACCGACATTTTAAATTCCTGCATCGACGATTTTAGTCGAAAACACTGATATGCCTTTAGAAATTTTTAAAAGTATTTATTTCTCTTCTATTTTCATATTGAATGAAATTTAATATGTTTATTTAGCCGTTGTGTTTATGAAAGATGTCAAACGGATTAGCGCGGAAGCACGAAATAGTCCACTAATCATTCAATATGGCGTCGCCCATGAAGGGTACGTTCACAGAAACGGCTTTGTTTGCGAAGACAAATTTAGGAGTATCTACTTGTTTTGAAAGATAGACAGATTGAAACTCTAAAGGCAGACAATGATAAAGACTGTATTGCAATATCACCCGTTGGGAAATATTATATATCGCTTTTACTGGAATAGCAGAAGTCGACATTTCGCTAACTTGATATAATATTATGTGTTTACATAAACCACGTGCTTCGGTTATAAATATATGTCATTGGCCGTAAAGTCGATAAGTCCCGCCCAAAATGATCACGTGCGCGTTTTAAATGGACGGCATTTAGCGCAGTGATGTATTCTCGAGGTATGAAGTAGATGCATCGCTGTGTGCAGTATGAGACCGGGGTGGTGTTCTGACTGCGGTGCTACAGCAACGGAAAATGATCTCAGGACGCGCCAAGATCGCCGCAAGCGTGGTGGAAACGACAGATATCGTGCTGTGGTCTCCATGGTCGCCAATGATCGCCGAGTCACCCCGGTCTGACGGAGGCATAAAATGAAACAGCAGGATTGAGTACTATAATTTGTACCAGAAAGATGCACTGTATGCCTAGATACAGGGATTACTGTAGACTAGTGTGATGTAACCTTCAGTCGTGACTGTATAGCATTTGTCTTTGATCTCATTATCTGAAATCTGTAATGGTTTGTTTACTATGTCAAAAAATAATGACCATTATGTTGATCTGAAACCTGTGATAAGAGTCCTTGAAAACCGATAATGACGATAGCATTCAGTGTAATACTGGTACTAGCACACCTTTAATACTTCATCAATAATCAATCTCAAGTCTGTACTTTAACCACTTAACCATCTATCGCATACCGGTCATCTTCTCTTAGTTACAGAATACAGACTATTGCGCTACATTAATGATCGGAATTCTATTGGCAGAAGGAAGTCCGTTGCTTATTTTAAGTGTGTGATGTTTGATTTGCAAGAAATTCAATCAGTTCTATAGTAGAATGCTATGGGGCATGGGTCGATGAAAGGAAAAGTAGGCTGCATAAAATACTACAAGACAAGAAATTACCATTTAAATGAATGGAATGAACGGACATGTTAACTGCATACCAGGAAAGTAGTCGTGGGCGTGAATAATGAGTCAACTCATCAAGGGAAGTGGTTTTCGTTATAGTTAACTAAGTTGAATCAATGTTCGTTCAAAAATCAGATCTCTATCTTCTCTTAGCTGATGATGATGATGATTATGAAATGCAGTAAATTAACCAACGTCAGTAAGCCTAAGAATAAGATCTCTAAATTTACCATTTAATGTAACCCAAGATCTAATTAAATAAAAAGTCCTGGGACCCCCCCCCCCCTTCCGCCCTGTACTCTTGCAGAGGTTGCCATTGATGTAATTAGAATCAAGGCTATCGTGTTCCAAAATACCACAAACCAAATTACTGATAACTCCACTTAATCTGAGCAGACGATGTTCAAAATCGCACCTAGTCAGCGTATTGCTGTGATGAAACAACTCTCGCTTATTCAGAGTAAACTTTATTGTGTTCCAAAGCACCGACAAACCAAATTGCTTAGCATCCAGTCAAGACTTGAACCTAAAGAACATCTACCTCCAGGTTTGGATTGTGCTACCTCAGTTGGAAGCAGGGTCATTGTGTTCGTAAAGGTGTGACAGATAGGTTGACCGACAGGCAGACGGATACACCCATTACTCCAGTTTTCAGAGCATTTTTCATGATATTTAATGTGGTGAGGCAAGGAGGGCTGTAAAATAATGGTTTTTTTTAGACATCTTCATTTATGGTTGCACTGAAGTAGAAAACGTTTTTGATGTACGTATGATGTACGTCTAGAGACAACTTGTTTTCTCGTAGGAACGTTGGTGTTCCAAGGTATGAATAGTCTATAAATTCTTTGATTAGAAGATTTATGTAGACTAGTGGGCCAAACTGGAAGACTGATGGGCCACTTTGTCAACCGGTCCATATGTAAAAATTGCCTCATCTGTTTTCCCCCGAATGACATGGGACAATATCTTCACAATATGCCAACACTAAACCAATTGACTGAAAAAGAATTTATAAAGAAAGGCGAGTTCAGATGCATTGCTAAGTAAATTGACTAAATACGGAAATCACAACATGCACGTTGATCGATAAATAATTAGAATAATTCCACAAATAGATTTCCCATAGAGATGTATCAGTTTCATTCTAATTCTAACCACGTGGAAACGAGTTGTAGTAGAATCAAATATTGGACCATGGCCTATGGCCATAGACTTTATTTCAGGTAATATGCTGGACGACAACCGTGATAAATCACGATCCGTACCCAATATGGCGTACCACTCAATTTTCTAGTTCACCAAATTTCATTCAAAGTCGAGAAACTGGAAGATGTCATCATTATATTTATTTGCAGAGTATGACAAGAACAAAAAAAAAACCTTACCAAACCTTATACAAAAGCCGTATCACAATATTGACAGTTGTGCCAATTCAAGAAGCCAACTTCTCCCCGTTTACTGATTTAGTAGAAGTTAAGCTTCTCTATTGACGCGATTTCTGCAAATTGAATTATTTCGAACGTCTACTTGTCGAAAAATCGTTAAGGGAGCATACGGAATATAGTTTATCACGACAATATTATAACGTTATGTAATATAAAATCATCTATTCCCACATTGCTTTCCATAGATCAATTATTTCTATTGTCTATATTATTAGCTAATGTTATCTTAACCGTAGATATTGTACTAGCTGTTCAATTAAAAAAACAGAGTGTAAATACTGAGCATGAAGAAATAACAAAGGGAAAATAGTTGTTTCACAACTTCGGAGTACAGAACACTGTCCAATTTAATCATAATATAGATTTCTTTTATGTGGATAACTTCATTTTAGAAAAGATTTTGATAAGCCCACAGTTTAATGTAGTTGCATATTGTCGCCACCCCTGTCTACGTCGGTCTATTGTTCTAATTTTTAAAAATCACAATATAGACTACAACCATCTATATGTCTTTTGAAAGTTGATAAAGGTTGTCCATCTCATTGGAATGGCGAATACCATTGATTTTCAATATGTTTCAATAAACACCCGCAAGGTTAAGCCACTGAGAGTATTACGTTATCATATTTGTATAACGTTGTTCGGAAACACCCTGAAGCACAAACGGGTGGACGGACAGGCGTGAAGCCAGTATCACTACAGGAACGGTACTATGCAGATCAATGGGCGTTTACGGCCGATCCCCGCATCCATTCACTTTATTTGATAGTGCACAATGTCGGTGTGTTATGTATGGGATGCGTTTTGTCTTATTAATTGGTTGTGTGTGGTGTATGGTGTGGTTCTCCTGCACTTACCATTAGAGTCTTTAATTCTTAGCTCATAACTTAGCTGCTAGTGGGTGTAAGTTTCGTTCCTGACAAATTTTGTTTGCTATAAATAGGTATGTATGCCCTGTTGGCGACCATCAAATTGGAGGTGAAAAAATAAATTGTGATTCATCAACTTTCACACAGAATGAGAATCCTAAATTCCTAATCGCAACTTATTTCAGAATAATTATTACCGTATTTACATGTCATGTAATATAAAACACTGTACCGGTATATCAAGGGCATCCCTAAATCACGGTCTCAAAACAATATCCGCTCTGCAAGACTTTATAGAGATGTTGCATTAGAGGACCACGGGCAGCTAGACGAAGATAATATCATAAACCTAGTAAATTAAATATTAAACTATACTGACTTTTCAAAAAGACTGCTAAAAAAATGTGCCACGAGTGTTTATAATGGATAGCGAATCCTACTAGCTTATACATGTACTGATATATCTTGTCTCGCTAACTGAACATTAATCAATAAACAGCTGAAAATCTTCCAACTCAAACCTTTTACAATATTAATGGAATGGTACATATGTCTTTATGGACAGCTTGTTTGAAATAGATAATATATCCTGTTTTAACATTCTAAACTCATTTCATGTAACACTATTTATATTCGATCTCAATCCTCTGAGCAAAAGGTTGGCGTAGAAAACCGTCTTGGGCACGCTAGTCGAATCTCTTGCGGTTTTACCAGAGGCGGTTCAAGAGAAACAATTTATTATTGGTCGATGAAGGATTTGTGAAGAAACGAGATTGGAGTTATCTAATTTGTGAATGGTCTCGGATCCATGCATAATTATTGTTGACACATCGCGGGTAAACTCCTTATGGAAGTCAATGGTTCGGTCCTTAATACTCAGAAATGGATGATAGTCAAGCAAGTAAATTGGTGTGAATGTTCCAGCTAGAGTATGTAACATGTAGGATTATTATAAAAGAGTTTTGAGTGTAAAATGGAGAATTCTTTACTGTTTATTATCTGGATTTTAATGCAATTGTTTTTGGTAAGTTTTTCATTTCATAAAAAGCAAAATAATATAAATTAAATTTAGTACGTCGATAATAGGACGTCTATAAAATATGTGCTGCTAAAAGGTTATGACGGTAAAAAAGATTACCTAAATCAAGATGTTTGGTTTATTAACAGCGTTTCAGTGTCTCTATAATACAATTACTTGACTAATCTGAAATGTTGACGCCACATTTTTTATAACCTCAAAAGATGGGGAAATTGCTTGATAAGATGTCTGTTGAACTTATTGTTGTTTGTTTTGATGATCATAAAATACCCCATATTGAATATGAAAAATCGCGATTTTATTTTAGGATAATCTATTATTTTCGTTTTTGAAACTACCAACGGTATCAGTTGTATCTGTTCAATTCTAAATGAATACGATCAAACAACAGTCATATAAAATGTTAATATATTTTAAATGTTGTCGAAAAGTAATACAAGTCTGTGAATGTGCATTTCAACAGAAAATCTGATCAAGAAAATAATAGCCCCCCTTTCACATTTATCTACTGTATCAGTACTTCTAAAATCGAAGACATTAAATTTGCTCTAATGGTGTGAGCTAGTCGGGATTTCTGAGTTAGCACTGTGTTTCTTATGTTTTAAATTGGCCTATATGGTTTCCTTGGACACGATGTTTGAAGATTTATAATACCTTATAATATACCCTTTATAATTTATAATATACCCTTCCATGGATTTCATGTTATTTCTTTTTAAAGATCTTAATCTTAAAGCGAGTCAACACTCACCCTTTTTTTTCTACATAATACAATCGAAGGAGCGTTTAAACATACATTATGCAAGAGCTAAATCTGTAAATTGCAGGTCTTTCTTTAGGCCTGAAATGTTATCTAAATTATTAATTAGACATTAATTAACCTATCCAGACCATAATCAACTCTAGATGGCATCGCTAGCCTGCGATCTTCAGTGGATTATGAGCCGATTTACTGCATAACTTTCCTTCACGATTTAACGATTAAATGGATAATCGAGACTATGCTGTTTATCGTACTGACTTTAGTTATGATGATCGAGGCTAGGCGGGAATTTCAAACGCTTAGTTCTCGGTTTTTTGAATGAAATTTTCAGCAAATTGCCTAAACATTATCTAGTTTTTAACTATTATAGTGAGAACTGCCAACTCGTTATCGAATCTCCCATGATTTTCAATTCATCTCATTTTTGGGATCTTTTCTAAAATATCTTATTCTTACAGAAAATCAACGGGGCGTTTAATTTTAAAGGGTAATGGCGAACGCTGTGTAAGGTAGCCCTATAATTTGTGTGGAAGAAGAGATGTAATATTGAATAGTCAAGAAGAACGCTAACTGATTAACATCATTAGAGCTAATATCGACTACAACAGTAACTGGTAGAATGTCTCGCAAGAAACCTCATCAATATTACATAAATCCTCACTACGTGTGTCTGTAGCAACTAGGAAAGGTTACTTGGAAGATCATTTAATCAAATAAATACACCCACCTAACCTTTACAATAAGATTGGTTTGGAGATTTGAAAATGTCCTTAATGTTGTATACAAAAAATTCTCTTTCCATACTGAATTAAAAAAAAAATAGCTTTTAATTTTATATTACATGTTTCGTGCAATAAACATGCAATTTGTCAGGATAATTCCATCAATGTGGGTATCGTGATTTTAATCTATATACGCTAGATAACAGATAAATGAAATAATTTCAGTCTGGTTTAATTTTACGGATAAGTTAGATAAGGAGGGATATAAAACGCCATATTTGAATGTGGATGCCCTAATAAGATAAGCGGTAAAACAAAATGAATATGGGCCGCAAAATGTTATTTGTATTGCAATTCACCCGAGACCAAATAACCAGTTATTTCTGCAGTATATAATGCTTCTTGTGAGTGTACAATACCCCAATCATAGCACGTCTTTTTTTTCTTTATTCCTTTCGAACCCCATCGTTGCAAATATTTTCTGGATAATCGAAGTGACTCTACCAGTATTTATTCTTTTGCTGAAAATAACTATGGACTCCCAATGGTGTGGTTCTATAAAGTACTAAGAAATCTCAAAAATTACAAAATTGAAATGAAATGAGGTTTAACGTCCTACTGTTCTGCTCCTAAACTGGGCTAATGAAGACGGGCATACGCCATACAGTGTGCTATGAGGGAAATTTTGCCCGGGCAGCGGCGCTACGGCCTACTCTTATATTGAATTCCAACTGCCAAGGGATCTTTTACGTGCACGCCAATATGTACACGGAACCTCGGTTTTTTGTCCCACCCGAACGACTAGACAGCTGTCCTTGTCAGGCCCTCCGTCCCGCATCACTGACAAGGGGGAACCACGCCGGAAAATCTGGATGAACTTTCTCGGCCAATGCAGGGATCGAGCACCTCAAAAATTACAAAGACAGTAATATGATTATCTTTATACTGTCACAAACAAGCGGTTGCCATGCTAGATGTGCCCACATTTTGCAAGAGACGGACAGAGAACAAGCTAAAAAAAAAAGCGATTTTTCGTACAATCAGGGACCATAATCCAAGATTTTATGGTCTGGCATATCTTTTGGATATACAAACATATACTTTAAGTTTCATCAAAATCGGATTAAAATTGTGGATCCACAACCTAAAAATGAGAGAGAGAGAGAGAGAGAGAGAGATGGGGTTTAACGTCCACTCGTCACAAACTAGGTCGTTTCGGGACTAACATATGGTTTAATTTTATTTCAATAATTCGCTTGCGCGTAGGGGTCTTTAGCAGTGGGGGGAAACCGGAGGACCCGGAGAAAACCCATGAGGTTGGACCTAAAAATGTGATTTTTTCGTACAATTAGAAGCCATAAACCATGACGTTTCGGTCGGATACATGCCAACATCGATAGGAACCGAGATCTTTGGGATATGAACCTACAAGAGCGACGACAATATATACGTCCACATGAAATGTGGGCGTATAAAAACATGTATTATGTCATCTTCAATAGAAGGCTTGATCTCGCCTTAAAGGAGCTAAATCGCTAACATTTGGGACCTAGAAATTGACAAAAGTGGGTCGCAACGCATATAATACTGTAATATGAATGTACATAAACTGATTTACATTCAATGGTTTCCGTTTTTACTCCAATTTCAAATCAGTTATGTTCGGCGAAATAAGCCAGCAGTCTCAATCGAGTGCAAATTTCTAGCATCTGGTTATTCAGTCTACATACGCCGTTCGATTTGGTGCAATGTGTCTAGCCTCGTCCCTCGAGTCTCTTTTTACAACTGAGGCTGAAGCGCATTATGGCACACGAATCGTGTACCAATGGTAAAATGTTTATTTTGTCTTAAATATTGGATATCAAAAGCCCATCTTATTCCGGTAAGATCACAACATCAATGTTGATTCAATTTGACAAATAAATTGTGTTTTCAATGTTGAAGATTTTGGATGATATTGAGTTAGAGACTTAGCTACTTTAACTACGTACAGCTAGATGTTGTAAAACTCGCGGTTGTTGCTTCAGGAACATGGTATTGTGTATTACGACTTTCAGAATGTCCCGTCTTTAAACAGCGAGCCGATCGTTGCGTGTTACTAAAATATGACTATAAAGTCATTCATTAAGTTGTTCTTTATTTAGTCAGTATTGAACGGGGCAAATGGAGTAAAGACATGTAATAACTAATCTTGTAAGTTGACACAAGTATTGATCTGAAAGGCCATCTTGTTTTGTTATATCATGTAATAAAGTAGTCTGTAACAAAGATTTATGGTACATGTACTAGGCAGGCGTGTATGTCAAAAGTCTTAACAGAGGAATAATGTTGATTCATCAAACAAGAGCCCAACTGGGCTTAAATTGCGATTCACTTTATTAAAAGAGGGAAATATAAGCTGTTTGTAACTTTAATATAGAAAAGGAATTCAAGTCTGAAGTATTGTTGAAAAAACTCCTTCAGACTGCACCACGCGGCCGTCCCCATTTGGAACAATGTCAAAATTTAAACAAATCTGAATAAAAACAGCCAAAAACTGCCAATTTCGAAATTTAACCTTTTCGGGGGACCAGGGACCTGTTTCTCGAAATCTTAACTAAAGATAAAATCCAATTTTAGTAGATAATTCAATTTTGATTGGCAAAGCACTAAAATCAATCTAATATTATCCAATCAAATTACTAAAATTGGATTTTATCTTAGTTAAAATTTCGTGAAACAGGCCCCAGGTCCGCACCACGAGGGATAGTAAAAATATATCATCGAACCTAAATAAGCATCACTAGCACAAGATCGCTACCAAATTTTACTGTAATCTGTTAAGTAGTTTTGGGGAAGACACCAACACAAATCTTTATTAGCATGTGTGGATCATATTCATTCCAAATCCTGTTGAAATCCACAAAGCTGTCATTTGTCATTATACTAATTCAACCCTTACAGTCAATCTATTGTTCCAAGAAAAAGGCAAGGTGTCTTAATCAATCCTGCAACGCAATGGTCAGCGGCATGTTTGTAAAGATGAGCTTTGTTGGCTATCATAACAATTTACAATCCACGGTTTATACAAAGATACATCATAAGTGGGACTACTAGCAGAAAACCCTTTCTATAAAGTCAGCCGACACATTCTGGTCAAATCTAATTAGTTTCCAATATTAATATTCTATCTAGATTTATATCACGATTTTTCATTTCCTGATTTGTGCTATTGCGTGACAAAAATATCTTTGTTCGCCAGTGTTTGGTAAAGACTAACACAAGAAATGTCGGGTATAAGAGCGTTAAAATTATTCGTTTCCGTTTGTGAAATAGTCAAATAATAGCAACCGAATCAAACTTGAATATCGGGGTAGTTGCTGGACTAGATATACGTCCAAATGTAGCTTGTTCATTTGAAACTCTTTTTTGTTTTTAAATCATAATTTTATGGGTTAGGACAAAAATCTAACCAAAAACTCGGGCAAATTATTAAACGCCCAAACATCATCTGTTAGCACATTTTGAAAACATCTATACGGATATAGTAGTTTACCATTGCTGCAACTTCTGAGTTAAAGGACAATATTGGTGCCAGTCATTATCACACATGTGTTAGAGCTGGTTCAACACATTCCAAATATATTTTTAACACAGAGATCATTGCTACGATAGCTGAGTAATACAGGTTTCCCGTATCGGAAGTGACGAACGCCAAAGGAAAACACGAGTCGCCGCTCTATATAACTGACTGAAGCGACGAGTGATAACAGATACACGGCCAAATTTCTACTCACTAATAATTTCTTCGATGACCAAAAGTTGTTATATGGGACTGTAAGAGGATATCTGACAATTCAATAAAGTAATTGAATGTCATTAGATAAGAGAACACGAGAAAAATAGAAATAGTCTGTACATTCCCTTGTTTATATTCATTCTATACCTTATAAAAACATGGTAATGCACGGACTTTTTCTATTTTTCTTTCGTGTTCTCTTATCTAGTGGCAGTCAATTCTTTTTATGAATTGTCAGATATCCCCTCACAGTCTCACACAAGAACTGTTGGTCTTCAAAGGAATTATTAGTGAGCAGAAATTCGGCAGTGTATCTGTTATCACTCGTCGCTTTAGTCAGTTATATAGAGCGATGACTCGTGTTTTCCTTTGGCGTTCGTCACTTCCGATACGGGAAACCTGTATTACTCAGCTATCGTAGCAATGATCTCTGTGTTAAAAGTATATTTGGAATGTGTTTATCCAGCTCTAACACAAATGAGATAATGACTGGCACCAATATTGTCCTTTAATTTTAAGTTACTGAGATGCCTTGATGTTGCTATTGAAGCGTAACACCATTGACGTGGTCAGTCAGATAAATTTGGAGGAGAGGGGGGAGGGGAATTGAGGTTTTGGATCTGGGTGTGACTGGTGGTTACTAAGATATATCTCAGACAAAGATTCAGCTGGTAATCTGCTACCGAAAAAGAAGTTTACGGCTCTATGAGTCACTCTTATTCGCCAATTTTAAAGATACTACAATTTATATGCAACTGGAAAACTATTTATTCACAAAAGCCACATTACATGCTTATATACAAGGAACAAAGAAAAGAAAAATATCCCAACCATGGTGATTCCCGAAGAATCTTTTAATAGTTTATCTGCCTCGATCGCAACAAAATATATCTCTTTAAAATGGTCTAGTGGTGGAAGTTCTGATTTATTTTTACGTTTGAATGAATATCTTCATAAGTGGAGACGACCCATACCCAAATAATTTGCGAGGGTTTTAAACAACGACGACAATTTAAGTCGGATAAACGTTTTAAATGAATAATGGTTCACCTGATAAAGACCCATTGGTTTTATATAACATACCGTTCGATGCTTCTATATCTGATTTAGATTTGTGAAGGTTCATTTGGGACTCGGTTCTGTCTCTCTTGATAAACGACTTTCTGGCAAAACTTGACATGGTCTTTAATTAAACTTGTTCACCAGCTAACGCACACTCAATCAAGTTAAAAATAATGAAGTCTACATGCTACCACAAGCATCGTCATTTCTTTTACTAGCATCATTAATAAAACATTGAATAACCCAGCATTAGTCCATCGTATCCTTGAAGGAACCGTTCAGACGGAAAAATCAAATCTTCTTTCATGGAATCCTCGTGCATTGAATTAAGTTACATACTGTGTAAAATTCTAGTCTATGGGGTTTCAATTAAGAGACTTGTTGGGTTCATGAACAGGAAATTACTAGCTTTTCTTGCACAAACGACGACTTTGCAAGTTAAAATGTACAGAAAAAAAAAAAAATCATGTGCTCTAGCATAACACTGAAAACATTCTAAATAAAACCTCCACTTTTTTTTTACCCAGATACAATACTAATGACGTATTTTTTAGGGAAGTCAATATACAATTTTATTGTCGTCACCAATGTTTGCAAGTTAACATTGGCTTGTTAATGCGACAGAAACTACAATTTTTAACTTATTTTTTACTTCCAAATTTGGCGTGAAGTATTTGAAATTGGACAACATCCAAATCTTCCTTTGGATAAGTTAATGTTTTGTTTTGTTTTTTTGTCAAGGCAGCTGCTGTGTTAATGTATATCCAGGATTTGTCTGGCCTTATTCTTTTTATTTTAGTTCAACAAAAACAAGTGTTTAAAATTAGATACACTCTTGACCTAGATTAAGCAGAAATTAATATCAAAATTAGAAGACCATAATATACATTAATAGGACTGGCCGATTTTCATAATTTTTTAACCACTGTGCTTTTAAGACAAGACTACTTTTTTAGTGTATATGGATTAAAAGTCAATATGTCATATACTTTTTGTGCCATATCCATTTGAAGTTTTAAAGACGTATCACACCCATTTGTTTTAACTATACCTGTACTATCAGTAAAACTATTTATCTATTTAAAGGTTGGCGTTCATGGTAGAACTAGTAATAAAGTTCAGTGTGATCCAACTGTAAACAATTCCTGTCCAAAGGGTTATTGCTGTGTTAAAGAGGTAATTAAATACTATTTTTCAAATGCATGAAATGGGGTTTAACCTCTTTACTTTTTTTCTTCACCTATCTGGCTAATGATTACGGGCATCCAGGCAGTAATTGAATTCCAACTATCAAGGGTTCGTTTACGTGCATGCCAACGTGTACATGGGACCTCGGTTTATCGTCCCATTCGCACGGCTAGACACTGTTTTTGCCATGCCCTCTGCCCTGTACCACGAACACTGGGAAACCACTTTGTAAAATCCCAGGGAACTTGCTAAGCCAACACTAGAATGAATCTAATAATAATTATAGTCTATACTATTTTTCACACTTATACCATATTTTGATAGCATTGACAGCACTATCCATCTAGAATTTTCTAAAATGTGATGATACTGGGAAATAATGTCTTTTATCACCCAATAATACATTCTACAGTAGATATCGCTTGTGTGATATATTTCATAATCTACTGCGATATATCGCTTTCCATGAATTTGATTGGTCAGTTGAAAAGGAACTACTTTTTTTGATTTTCAAAGAATAGTTCATTTCTTTTTAAAAGTAATTTTTTTTTTTATTAATAATGAACTATTGTTATTCAATTGACCTTGATGGAAACACTGGGTCAATATAAAGGACTTTGCAATGGTTGGATTGCTGTCAAAAAATGATGTATCACTACGTCATAATGTTCAGTAAAAGTGAAATCTACAGCAAAGAATTATATTTGTCTATTTGTGCATGTAAGTAAGGATTGGGTGATAAATAAAATCTCCTACTTGTCTTTTTTGATATCAAAAAATATCAACACTCGTTGATAATCGGCATAGCCTCGTTTTTTGTTACTTTATCAACTTGTGTTGACATTTTTTGATATCAAAAAAGACTGGTAGGAGATTCTCTATATGTTTCAACATTGGATAAGAACATAGAATTAACTGTATATCAATTCATACTTTCAAATTCCTCTCTTCCAGGTTTATGTATCAATGGATGTAACTAAACCAGCTAATGGTTTTACAGTATGCCATCGTAGATTACAGAAAGATGAGTTCTGTCTACATAAAGCTGAAGGTTTCCTATGTCAGTGTGATGAAGGACTTACGTGTGTATCACAAGATGTTGAAAATAACTTTGGACATTGTCAACGCAAGTAAAAATGACAATAACTGTATCACACATTATAGATTTACTGGTGTTTCAGTAAACATTTAAATATGGACAAAAACAACCAGATTCAGATAACCAGGCCAGTAGTTAGCCCAAAATTGTTGGGGGGGGGGGGTAAAGGCTTATGGGCGCACCGATGCACCTACACTTGACGGTCCACGGGTTTAGGGTGCTCTGCCCCTAGAAAATTTTGTAGGATAGGGTTTGAACCTGAAAATGTCGTGGACGGCCACTAATCTCGGCATTATGGGCACCCCTCCGGAATGAGGCACCCCACAAATCATGCCGTTTTAGGCGCCCCATTGATCAAGTCGCGGGCGCCCAGCCAATCTTACTCGGCATTATGTAATATGTGCAGCCCCACAATCATATATCGTTATTATGGGCGCCTCTCCGGGATAAGGCACCCCACAGATCAAGTCGTTTTGGGCGCCCCGTCAGTTGTGGTGTTAATCGTGTGAGTCATTATGAGGATTTGGGGAGCGCCTCATATATAACGATATGATTGGCGAGGCGTCCAAGTGACATTGGTTGCGCGCCCCGCCAATCTCGTCGTGGGCGCCCAACTAATGTCACGCGGCTTTAAGTGGCGCCCATACTGATATGGGCACGTTGGTCGTTGGCTTCGTGTTGCGTCCAATCAAAAGGGCGCCCCCCCCCCCATCAGCTACGGGCCTGATAACATAACATTGCCTTTTTAAAACAATAATAATGAGACTTCATGATGAAAACAATTTTTCGTGTGTAAATTATAGCACGTCATATTGATTTTTGTTTTTTTTGTTTTTTTTTTTTTTACTTCCTAGTGTTCAGTGGTGTTAATAATTTCATACAAATCATGAAGATACCATTTTTTGTAGAATTAAATAAATGCTATCAATTTATTCCTATAACTACATTTAGCTGTTCTGTTATATTGGTTTTTACTGCTGCTCTGGTTGCAGAAATGCTAATTTGAAAAGCTTTTTATTTATCTGATCAAGCATGGATTCTATACCTTTGGTTTCCTAATTAGAAGTTTGTATTCAACAGCCCTTAATATTCATGATTGTACCTATCATTACAAAGGTAATTCATCCATTGAAGACAGGATGTATAATATTACTATTTTTGTATATAATGATATGATCAATACAATTTGCTTTCATAAAGTGCAAGTTGATTTCTATACATGTTTGCCATAAATATTTGTTTAGCATCACTCGGCTTTATACTGAGTGTTACTGGGGGCAGTAGTGAATTAAAGTGAGTTACCCAGCCTTCGATCTGAAAAATAGTTGAACATGCCTTCCCCCCACTCCCCTTAATCGACACCCCCGACAATCATCCTTTCGAACAACTGTCTAAGGCCTGGGTTCCAAACCTCTGGGTCTCAAACTTTTAAATAAATGCTAGGTTTCCATGAAAAGCATATACGAGGGCTGGCTGAAAAGTTCTAAGCCTGAAAAGGATAGCTCGATTGGGTTGAAACAAACTATCATTGAATCATAGACGTAAGAACTGCAACTTTAGTGTTATTATTGTCTTCAAACCAGACCATCTTGTGAACCTCGATTAAAACCACCAGAAATGAACAAACTGACTATAAGGCAGTACCTGCAACAGAAAGGACTAACCCAATACAAATACATGCCAACATGGTCTCCACTTTACAATGAACCGCGTCCCCGAAGGCCATCAACGGCAACATTCAAGAAAACATTACCTTGGTGCATGAGAGTGATGGGATTTTAAAATATTTCTTGTCCGACATTTTACCGAAAATAAACTATTATCGTTATTTAAGCAGACGAATTCATACCACAAATAAAAATCGCATGGCAACAAAATATTAAAATCCCGTACGTAATAAAAAATATGTAAACCTCGCTATTTTTCATATTTAATTCTCGTACGGTATTCAAATTTATGTCAGTATCATTCCTACAATGAAATCTCTCATGAGAGGGTTGAGCACAATATCGCCAACGAGTTAAAATGACAAAAGTTTCAGCAAGATGGGTGCCAAAGCTCTTGACAGCGAATTACAAACCATGGATGAGACCCGTTTCCAAAAATGAAAAAGGAACTAGTTGGTCGTCATGACGTCTTGTCAGCTGTGAACGACTTTATTTTGGGTGTCTGAAGAAAATTTCTGCTTTGCAACATCGTTGGCAAGAGTGGTACACCTCGAAGGGGACTATGTAGAAAAATAATTTGAAACCATTACATTTGTACACATAGGCTTAGAACTTTTCAGCCAGCCCTCGTAAATTTCTGATCTAAACAGCTCTTGCCACATTGCCAATCGTCTTTCTTCTCTTAGGCTCACGATTTGTTTCCTCAGTGCACATTAAAATGGTTAACACATGCGCTTTGCATCATAAGGTCTGTCATTGAGCCAAGTGGCTTGGTTTTTATTCCCTGCTTGTATGCGACAAGGAGTAGGAATGCATGTCCAACCTCGTGGGTTTTCTCCGGGTCCTCCAGTTTTCAAGCACTGCTAAAGACCCCTACGAGCAAGCGAATTATTGAAATATAATTGAAACATGTTAGTCCTGAAATGACCTAGTTTGTGTTGAGTGGACGTTAAACCCCTATTTCCCCCCTCTCTGTCTCTCATTACAACATTTTGATCTGTAAATAATGATGATGTTTCATAGTAAAAGGTCACATCAGCCATGCACCATTGAAACAGTCATCATTGTATTGTTTTTTATTATACTCAATTACATTCAATAAAATTATTAAACATCTCATTTTTCTTGAACGGATCTATCAGATATATGTGCAGGGTGCCGATTTCAAGGTCAGGAAAATACATAGCGGTCTCAATTGACAGGAAAAGCCTAGACCACTCTTTATTGGGGCCTTCCGTGCTTGACCACCTTAAAAAGCCCCTGATTAGAGTAACCTTTTGTTTTCTACTGACCATTGTAGAAATGTCTGATTTGCACAAAGATAGGGCAATTAACTCTTAATCATTTTCTACTTTTTATTAGTATACATAAACAATATGGACCATCCTCTAGTAGACCGTAGCTGGTTTCTGAGGAAAATGAAAGTAGTATTATATTTGCAAAGAACAATATATTTTCTACAGTATATAGAAAACCTGATGATGTATAGTGGAAAGCTTAACAGTAATAAGAAGCAAGTGATATAATAAAGATTTCATACACCAAGTCACATGAAGATAACATATATATTGATTAATACTGTCTATAGCCTTCTGAAAAAATCTTTTCTTGGGGGGGAAAAGGTGATGGAATCATGAAATGTTCAAATTGGTCTGGATCCAGAGTAAATAGTGGAAGGTTTGAATGTTGAATTTGGTTTATAAGAGGACTAGATATATAACAAGTCAACTATATGATCACATCATTGTTATTGACACGCCTGCAGTAATGTCTATAATAGGTAACCAATTGATTGAACACACACAGAGTTCACATCCTCCGGCACAATCATACAGTTCAATCCACTACAAACTTCTTCATTATTAGTAGTCTAAAAATAAGATTCATTCCACATAATTTTGTTCACATGAATTATTTTTTCAATAAATCCTGCTACAATCAGTTATCAGTGTTTTACTACATTTTGTAAGGTCCATAATCATCCCCAATACCAGTTCTACCCTTATTGCAGTCAGCTCTTTGATTTTTATCACCTTCTTGTAATAGGATTTGTTATCTAACCTGTCATGTTACTGAGAATGTGTCATATGTTGAATTCTGTCCACATTCTGCACAGTCATTCAACTCGATCTGTATTCTACACATTCATTCTGTCTACATTCTACCAGTCATTTTGATTTCTGTCTGCATTCTACACAGTCATTTTGAATTCTGTCTACATTTTATCAGTCGTTTTGATTTCTGTCTACATTCTACATAGTCATATTGAAATCTGTCTATATTCTACACAACCATTTTGAATTCTGTCTGCACTCTATAATCATTTTGAATTATGTCTACATTATACCAGTCATTTTAAATCCTGTCTATATTCTACACACAGTAATTTTAAATTCTGTCTACATTTCACAATGGATATAATATATCAACTAACATTAGTCTGTAATCTGTCTATTTCTCTTTGCCCATCTTCACCCAGATTAGTCAACAGATTATAATATACTTTCCTGAAAAATTAATAACATTTTAACCAATTGAATTTGACATCAGATTTTGGCATGTTTTTATATAAAGCATATATTACCATTTTACACAATTATGTTTAAACATAGAAGTCTTCACACAGCAGGGGGTTGGATGACCGAATGGTTAGCATGTGCGTGTTGTGTCATAAGGTCAGTCATTGAGTCATTCGATTCCCGGGTTGTATGTGACAAGGAGTAGGGTCACCTGTCCAATTGTACAATATGTTAGTCCCGAAATGACCTGGTTTGTGTCAAGTGGATGTTAAACCCCATCTTTCTCTCTCTCCACACACAGCAACTCTATTGATGGTAGTTATAAGGGAAGCATCTAATAGCTTATAGATGCACTTCATTATCAGGAAATGCTTAACTTTCATACCATATGGGCTGTATAGGCACTAGGCTTATCATCGTACATATAAACATTTTTTATAAATGGCAACTGATTTTCTGATATGAACAATGATATTAAGTTTTGATGTGATTATTATAGGGGTATCGTGAAACCAGAGGTGGTATTACAACCCCACCAGCCCTATCCACTCCATCGCTCGAGCTGCATTGATACCCCAAATTTCAGCCTTTGGGATGCCCTAGTGTAGCTGGCAACTACTAAGAAATAAACAGACACACCACAGGCACAAATATATGTATCAGTGGTAATAATGGTGTAAATGTATGAGAATGATAAAAACCTACCTTAATTTACTATCAATACCTACACCACGTTTTATCTCTAGATCTATTACTAATGTTGTACAATCAGGTATTATAGATATAATAAGATGTTTATATAATATACTTATAGACTCTAATACATTAAATACACCATCATAATACATCTTACTATACAAGTTGATAAATCTCTTTATTATACCAGCTAACTCATCACTACAACAACAAATCAAATGAAATGGTGTTTAACATCCTAAAATTCGGCACTAACGGGCTAATGAAGTTGAGTATATGCCATGCAATGTGCTATGAGAGTAAATTTGGTGTGTTCCCACTTAGCCGGCAGACTGTTAATCCTTTGATTGATCTTAAAACTATAGTCTGTTTAAAAGTAGTCACTCAAGAACTGTTCACTAGTGTTCAGCGTTAATGAGCTCTTAATCCCTCTTAATAAAATTTATTAACCAACTAATTAATGAAATTTGAACACAGTTCATGCCGGCGTTATGATTTTAAACATGAATTCAATTCACTATATTAATATAAATTGATGGTCGATCTGTGTCGAAATTATATTTATTTGAAAATGGCAAACGTTCAGGTTAATATTCGCTTTATCTCCAATAATCGAGGTGGCCGATATTTAATACACAATGGTTACAAGTTCAGTATAAAGTCAAGCAGACCAAATGCCGTCCATTGGAAATGTTCAACTGTGTAAGCTATTTAATGTTATTTAATAAAAGTTAAATTTGTTAAAATCAATACAGTTTTAGTCTTAAAAAAGATATGGACTATAGTTTATAACACCATTGTTCTAGGATTAACTCTGGATTAGCGGCAAAATTTGACATCAAAGCCTGCCGGCTAAGTGGGAAGACCCCATATCTTTGCCTTGACAGTGGCATTTTCACTTACTCTTTTAACAAATTCCAACTATCAAGATATTGATTCTCAAGTGCACGCCATCATGTAAGTACCTTGGTTTTCGTGCACTTTCGTCTTTCGATAAAGGATAATAGCCACAAAGTAAGGATCGGAAATGATAATAAATTTTTGAAAATAAATATGAACATAAACACATTATGAACATTATTTGTAGTCTGTAAAACGTCTACAAGGAATTGCAGACGACAGTCAGACAGGGACGATAAAATTATACAATCACAGTTAAATGTGGGCATATAAAATTAGTGTGATCAATAATACTACTTACATAGGAAATGTTGATGTATTTCTAACACAGGCTTCTATAAGAAACTGCATAATTTTACCAGAATGCTGTTTCATTGCTGGTGATGTAGAGAAAAGAACATATTCTAATATCGTCATCAACAGTACTTTATTATCCCTGGAAAAATAGTCACACAATTATCATTTATATTAGAATATTACTTCATTCATAAAATATCACTGAAAATAAGTTTTACAAATTGATCATAATAATTGACGAGGCAGGATAAATGCACACCTAGATACATACAAATTATTCAAGAGCATAGCATAATTACTAGTTAGATACATGTATATATACACTTTAAAGCATTAATATTTAACTAAAACAATAATTTATGGCCAGTTGATCGAAGTCTTCAATAGCTCCTTTTGATTTCATGGTACCACCTTTAATTTGTTTGTCCAAGTTACTAAATATAATAATTCTAAAATCTCTCCATACAAGCTTACTTAGAATGCAACAAGTCATTTAGTAAATTAGTGTGTATTTTGACTAATATAATATTCCATAAAATAGTTTGATTACCTGGCTATGACTTCGCCACTTGATGTTCTTTGAAGAACTTCTGTCACAAAAGATAAACCCTATAAAAAAGATGTGTTGCTTTAGTAATTTCTGATTACTGATGATTTTCAAAATATTAAATATACTGTTTGCAACACACAAGTAAACTTTTTATCTGTTGTTATATCCTTCACTTTGATACTTGAAAAGCCAATCAGAGTTATATCCCTTTTAAAGGAAATCTTACCAGATTAGATAATGGAGGTACAGACATGTTCTTCAAGCGAAGGTATTTCTCATGTATTATTTCTAGTATAAAATGTCTAAAGTTGACTGATGTTAGTGATGGTGTCTTCACGTAAGATTCATTTAAACAACTCTGAAAAAACAAGTCAAACAGTGAGGCTGATATCCCCCGCCCAGATTGCTTATCTCTGCTTACCGTAAGCAGACAATGTTTATCACCGAACTCCACCAAGGCATTCACCTAATGAACACCTACACCAAGTTTGAACATTCTACCTCAATTAGGAGGAGAGTTATTGTGTTCCAAAGTATCGACCAATCAAATTGCTTATCGATCTGCTTACCCTGAGCAGAAAATGCTCACTATCGAACTTAGGCAAGGTATTGATGTGATAAAACTATACACCAAGAGTCCTCACTCTAGCTTAATGTTGAAGAAATAAAACAAGAACCAAAACAATTTAAGAGTGTTTGTGTACCTACAGATAACGTGTGACGTGGATAATTAAGAGTGACAGGTTACTTACTGAAGCAACAAAAAAACATCAAAAAGAGAATTGTAATACAGTGATTCTGTGTCTTGCCAATCTGATTAAAATACAGGTCCTATTTCGTTACGTTTTTTATAGTTCAAAATTTCGTTTTACTTGATGATCTGGAAGAGTTGTTATATTTACCCTTGTTCTGGATAATGTGAGGGATTGGTCAATAAAACAGTTTGTTACATCAAATGTCAAAAGCCACTCGTATGACCTCTGATGCGACCTTCCACTACAACCAGTCAGATCTTCATATAGTGTAGGCCATCGAAAGTATAAAAAAAATCGAAACGAAATACAGATTTACTTTAACTGCTAAAGGCCACTTACTTGCAAGGTAATTATTGAAATACGGGTGTTGTTGAATTAACATAACACCGCATTTCTCTCATTCTCTTAACATATTTTGTGAGTTTTATGCAACTGTAGGGGTAAGAAGATCATAAAGCGAACTGTGATTTGATATAGTGTTTAATGGAATTCGTTTTTGTAAATCTATATACTTACTATAAGAGGATGAATGGCTGTTGATTCATTCATTGCAAAACTGGATTTCTTCAATAAAATAATAAAGTATTCGTTTATTAGCATCAAATAAAAAGTCAAGCTTGGAAATAAGGCACTTGTCACAGACATTGTCAGGCACAAATTCAGACAATGCCTATATTTTGTCCAATGCAGATTTGTCTTTTATCAGTGTTTTTATTAATACATGTCCGGCAAAAAGTTTGTCATTTACAGCTAGAATTGTTATTTCCAGGTCTGACCAAAGCGTAGACTATTATATCAATACAACTATATGCAGCAAGTAAAATTCTATATCAGATTTAATATGGTTCAATTATTAAAATTTAATCTGTTTGTCAGTTTTAATACATTTTTATATAATGTAAAAAAACCAAAAACATTTGGATTACTTATTTTTCTTAGTAAACTTACAATAGGAAATTTCTGTAAATATATTGAAACTATATCTTTCAATCTTCTCTCTACATATGCTGCTCTTCTAAAATCCAGTTTACTTAATCCTTGAATATACTGTACAAAATAAAATAGTCTAAACCAACTGGTATCTAAACAGGCTTAAACATACACAAAATTGACTTTTAAATTAATACTGCACATTGTATTTTTTAGTCATAAAAATAAAATCTCAGTGTTTGTGAACTTTTAAAAGAGGTATTTATTATTGTACAAATTCTCATTATTATCAAAATACATCTAAGCAAATTCAAAGCAATTTTAGAAATTTCTCGAAAGTGACTCATTGGACAAAAGTTAATCTTACCATATGTAAAGAATCTCTAATAACAGCTAAGAAAGCTGAGTTAATAGGTTTATCTGTATTAAAGAGAAAATGTGGAGTCACCATAGCACTTAATATTGCTGGTAGTGGACAGTTAGGATTAGACTGTAAAATAAAAATATTATTGATAAATAAATAATAGTACAGCACCATTGATTCTAAAGGATTCTACAGCATCTTTGATCTTGAAGGACAATCAAATTCAAAGTCCATATATATATATATATATATATATATATATAAAAGACCTATAGTGTGATATATGAAGATTTCAAATTAGGAATATAATATATATAGTGAGTATGGTGTTATATAACTGGTGTTAATCCTTAATTTCCCAAAATAAAATCATGATATAAACAAACTGCATGTTATCTTTACCTGAACCAATAATAATGGTGAACAATGTTTAACTAAATATCCTACAGTTGTAAACAGTGTTTTAAGTGTATCTTGTGGTGCCATCAGTTTTAACACAGGAGCTATTTGTTGTGGTACCAGAGAAAAAAAAACCATTACTTTTTCTCGTAATAACATCTTTTCTTTTAAATTCTTAAAACAGAAATATATTGAACAATCAAATAAAAGATAGAATACAGACATATGGATTACATAACAAGACATTATAATATCTAAGAGCAATAACTTTTATTGATGAGATCTATCTTTGGGCATGCACAGTGAGTTATCTTCCTGGCCATGTTAACCCTTACCTTTGACCGTCATAGGTTAAAATAATTAAAGCGATTTATCTTATAGTATGTATGAACGCTACACACGTTTTTAAACTGATTTATAAATAAGCACCCAAATAGCCTTGTGATTCTGGGTAACAATTCTTATATTGAAAAGCATAATTTTATCGCTTTACATCCCATTCTACGAAAAAAAAATAAAAAAATTCTGAAATAAAAATGACAAACGTACCGCAGCATTTTGATGTAACTGCCCCAATGATTTAATAAATACTTTAGGCATAACATCAACTGGTGCTGTAAGAGCTGCCTTGGATAAAAGCTCTTTAACATCACTTAACTCTAATATCACTCTAAACAAAAATATATAAATAAATGTTATAACTGCAAATTTGTCAATTATATAACCTGTATATTATTTTTTTTAAATAAGTACATATATCTCTCAATATTTATTGCCAATCATGTTTAGTACATAAATATTACTATAAATACCGACTGTTTTTAAATGAACTATAGTACACAGTTAAACAGGTGGGAGACTAATTATCTCCCTTTAATAAAGTCTTATTAAGGCCCTGGTTAATTGTCAGTTTCTCATGACTTGAGTTTGTGAAACATACATGCTACATGAGGTGATTATTAATTATTGAGATGAAATTTAATTTTTTTAGTTTAATGATGTTTCTATTTCAGCAATAACTAATGTCAGTTACTTGGTCGTTGAAAACCCAACGGTAACCAGTGTCTGAGATTTATTCACATTTAATAAATATTTATAGATTAAAATATATGTTGCACAATATCTGGGCATCGGAAGACTTGATTATAATAAATAAGTTTAAATTATTAGTGATATGCTTCTAAGTTAACAGCTCGTTAATTCATTCATTCTTGGCATTTCATTTCTTTATCTTTCCCTACTTTGACAGATTACCAGATGATTTGTTCTAACATAAATAATTGAAAGCATACCCTTGGATTTTTAAATACAAAATAAGTTAGATTATCATGTCAGTCCAAAGAATTTACTACACACGTGGTTGTTTCTCTAGCCGTGGAGGAAGTTAGTACCAATGACTTTGACCCAATCGGCACATGGCATCATGATTATATAAATACTTTTGTCTATCTTAATCAAACTGTTTACATTTATTTGTATCTTTGTGTCCTTTTGAGACTGTTTATAGATGTTGTTAATAAAATACCGTGAAGCAGTGACAACCAGTCGGTATGTCATGATCGAGATCATGTCATGGCGGCAGTTCTGGGACCGTTGCTAGTCACGTAAATAAAATAATTTAGCAGGAATTAAATGACATTTATATCTTCGTGTGAATTTTATTACAAATGACAAGTGCCTTATACAGTATATATGATACAGCTTTATCACTTCCTGTTTTATGGATGGACTCTGTATATTTTTTCACATTCACCTCTAGCCTACTTTACTTATCACCTACGGTGTCCTGTTCATCGATAAATAGTGGATTTTTATGCATCAATTCATTGTTCATATTTAAAGGCAAACAAATATAGTTTTACAGGGCAAATTATTGACATCACTAAATTTGACCAAATAATTATGGAAGTGCGTAATTATTACGGATGAAAACGGACATGTGGGCGGGTCATGAGAAACAAACAATTAATTAACCGCGGCTTTATAATTTTTTACAGGATGAGTGATATTTCTATTATAAAGTAAATGCCAATGATGACATAGATTTTGTAATTAATAAGCCAATAACTACAATTTTGATCAACTGGAAACAACATGTCAATAAAAGTTTGATCCATGATCTGTGTACAACCCATTACATCACTCTTCAATCATCAACAACAGTTATGATATAAGTAGACATATTTAACCAACATAAAATGTGAAAAGGTTTAACTTTTGAGTTTTCATATGGGATCATATATGTCAGTAGCTCACTTACCAAACATAATATTATCCACCTTACAGATATTTCTGTTTGGATTTCTGTTATTTATTATATTTCATACATATATATATTGTACCTGTTAATAGTATATATACTATTCAAAAAAAGTAGGGGATATTTGATTTTTAAGTGTTATTAAAGTCACCTAATGAAACTGACGAAGAAACAAATGACAAAATGAAATGATGTTCACATTCATCGATTTATTCCAAATGATCGTTAGACTAAGTAAGGCACAGACTGACCATTATAAGGGTAAAATGATACCCGGGGTAAAACAGCAAAGTTACCACAGCATCACAACCAAGTCAGTAACGGGTAAATCCTCCTCTGTTTGCCAAACAAGCATTGATCCGACGTGGCATACTCCTAATGAGACGTCTAAGGTCATTTTGGTCCAGATTGTCCCATTCCTGTTGCAACGCAGCAGCAAGTTCTTGGACATTGGCAGGACGTTGTTGACGTTGACGTAACCTCTGTCCAAGCATGTCCCAGACATGCTCGATGGGGGAGAGGTCGGGACTCAGTGCTGGCCAAGGTAATGTGGTGGTGTTCTGTTGTTGGAGGTAACCTGTAACGATCCTGGCCCTGTGACATCTTGCGTTGTCATCCTGGAAGATGAAACGGCGGCCATGACGTCGTGCGAACGGCACAACATGGACTGCCAAGATGTTGTCCCGGTAGTACTGGCCTGTAACACGCCCTGCAACAACATGTAAAGCCGTTCTTCCAGCAACAGTGATGCCTCCCCATACCATAACAGAACCACCCCCAAATCGATCATGTCTGATGACGTTAACGTCTTGGAAGCGCTCGTTTCGACGACGCCACACCCTCCTACGTCTGTCCAAAAAATCAACAGTGAACCTTGACTCATCTGAAAACATCACATTGCTCCAGCGTCGATTATCCCAGTGTTGACGATCCCTACACCAACGACGTCTTGCCTGAATGTGATGATCTCTCAAACAAGGGATCACGCGAGGACGTCGGGCGCGAAGGTGACCCCTATGCAGTCGATTCCGAATCGTCTGGCCACTCACTCTCACACCAGTGTCTGTTTGAAGACGATCGCTGATCTGATTTGCTGTGATGACACGATTTCTGGGCTTGAGTTGTCGCCCTTGGTCGACCTGAGCGTGGTCTGTCCTGTACAGATTGTGTATCACGGTATCTGGACCATAGCCTGCTTATGACAGACTGAGAAACATTCATCGTCCGCGCCACAACCGCCTGTGTTTTGCCGATCTGTAGCATGCCAAGGGCACGTAACCTTTCATTTTGGGTAAGCCGACGCATATCAAAATTTGTTTACTGGTAACTAAAACAATTAAACTGATGTTTCCACCCTGGAATTCAATGCCATAATGACTGTAACATTCAAAGTCAGAGTCGTGCAAATCTTGGGTTGGACCCCCATGATGATCCCAAGCATCACCTGCATTCCATGCGGTAGCTATTGGTGCGTTTGGGCGTCACATGTAACTGGAAATGTTTCTTCTGTTAGGTTCTATAGTGACTTTTTTCGTAGTCATTTGCATATTTTAGTATTATGCCCCCAAAATCAAATATCCCCTACTTTTTTTGAATAGTATAGTATGTAGTTGATGTATATATATATATATATACTGTACCTGTTAATAGTATGTAGCTCTGTTGATGATGGAGATGTTAATAAAACACATCTAAACCAGGCTTGTATTAATGTTGATTGTTGACAAACAGATAAAATACATTCTATAGCTCCAGTCTCTGTTAATACTTGAGATAAATAACGACAACTAATGCTATAAAAAATAAACATGTAAATATTGAAACAGAACAAACAAGATGTCTGATTAAAAAGTATTTTGATTTTAAACTAGATTTCATGAATTCAGAAATTGCTCACCTCATTAGTAAGGAAAGCGGCAGGCTCAACACAATTCAATTATTATTTGGGACCAATTATTCTGTTTACAATGGTGGTTTTATTTTACACTCAAAGCCATTAAAAACGCAATGCCAAATTCAAAGTTTATTTACAGCATGGACTTGCACAGATGTCTCACTAAATGCTGTGGGATTGTTTGCCAATGATTTTGGAGTGCCTGTGCCAACTCTGCAACAGTTTGTGGTGGCACGGCTTGAGTTCGAACCCGTCATCCAAGTTCATCCCAAAGGTGTTCGATCAGGTTCATGTCGGGAGACATAGCGGGCCAATCCATAACACGGACATGATGATTGTTCAGAAAGTCTCTTGTCAACCTGGCAGTGTGGGGTCGGGCGTTGTCATGCTGGAAAACCATCTGTCGACGGACGCCATGTTGAGCCAGCAATGGAAGCAACACCGGACGAAGGATGGCGGCAACATAATATTGAGAGTTGAGATTGCCTTGGACCACCACCAACTGGGACCGGAAGTTGATGTTGTTAGCTGCCCAAACTATGACGCCACCTCCCTCGAAACGATCCCTTTCCAGCACGCAGTTACGAGCAAAGAATTCACGTCGACGTCGGTAGATACAGTGACGTTCATCAGGAAAACTGAGGTTGAATCAGGATTCATCCGAGAAGATGACATTTAGCCATGGTGTGTTGTGCACATACCCCTGATTTGCGGCCTATTGCTGTCTGGCAGTAGCAGTAGCTGACTGGAACCTGTTGCGCAGATGCTGTAGTCGGATGTGGCGATCTTGAGCAGCGGTTGGTACAGGTGGCGCTCCAGGTCAGGGTCAATTGGCAACTCTTCCAGTCTAAGGCGAGCAATGGTCGATCGGTGGACATTTAAGTGTCTGGCGACGGCTACCTGTGAAGCCCCCTGATCCAGCATGCCAATAGCTCTGTTCCTGTTTTCTTGTGTAAGGTGTGGCATTTTTCCGAAGTGATGAATATTGAAATTTTGATTGTATTTAAAGGGCCAGAGTGCAGGGAATGCACCTGCAAAACGTGTGACATGAGACTGTTTAAAATTGTGAAAAAAGACAAGTGTTGCGTTTGCATGAACAAAGTTCATTCCCGAGAACTGATAGTGGGTTCAAACCCAGAACTCCACACAAAGAGACCCATCACAAGTTTCACCTATGTGCCATAAGATCGGTAAGCCCAAGAAAACGTTAACCAGAAATATTTCACGAATTAGGCATTGCGTTTTTAATGGCTTTGAGTGTATAATTCAATTTTGACTGTAAGCATCAACATGAATGAAATGGGGTTTAGCGTGTTCTGCCCCGATTGGGCTAATGAAGACGGCAGCATCAACATTGGTTATATACTAACATTTGTTTAATGTGGGAGAAGCGAATGTCAGTAAGCCAATAAGAAATTCAATGCACCATTTAAATTTACCAAAGACAACATTATTTACTCACCTGACATGTACATTCTCTGACAAACCAAAATATTCAACATGGCTGACAAATTTATCTTTCACTATCACAGATGGTGGACTGAAACCAAATAGGTACAGAAAATATATCATTGCAATTTCTTAACACAATAAAATACTATTCCGAAAGCATTTCCTGCGAAACAGCTATGAAAGTTGCTTAATTTACAAGTAAAGTTAGTGAACAATTAATATATCATCAAATACATTCATATAATAATAGTAATTGATTGTTGTCTATAGCCCACAAAAGTCATTTCTATTCTTTACAGAAAGATCATTAGTAAAAAGATGAGTTTTCAACGCCTCAAAACCGATGTGTCTTGAAAGACCATTCCTGATGTTTGCACCATGACCTCCTGAATGTTTCCAATAGAGTAAATTATATAATATTAATTGTTTATAATGGTGAAAACTATAGATACATTACATTTGTTTAGATAGAAGAGTGAAGGAAGCAGCTAAATCAGCTAATACGGGAGGTGGTGTCTGGGTACATGCATGCTCCTTTATAAATGGATAAACTGTTTGCCATAAATACAGTCCTAATACTGAAATATATTTAAACACAAGTTTGTTAGATGTCCATCCACTTGATATATAGAGCAATTAACTGATTTGGTTACTGGATTGCAGATAACTTATAGAGGTCCTTAGCATCATGTTATATCCACAGTCTAAACACTTACCTATATCCTAAATAATCATTACCCAGTATGTAAAAATCTATCGATACTTTAAAGACCTTGATTGGCAATATATTTCTTTATTAGTTTGAACAATAATCTATACTGACATGCTAGCTAGTCTGAAAATAAGGCACATGTCACAGACAACATCAGAACAATTTAGGCTTTGTCAGACACAGATCCTTTGTTGCCTGTTATTTTGTCTGGTACAGATTTGTTGTCTCTGTGTTATTATTGATATTTTTAAGACATGCCCTGTATAAGTTAAAAAGGTACATCTCAACAACAGTGCTTGACATTTTGTCAGGTACAACTAAATTAGTGACTTATAGATAATGTTTGAAAGAATCAATTATCAAGATTGGTCATGGGCTATGACCAGTATCGGTAAATCGAAGTTTCCAGGCAAGACCCATTTTTTCTGTGACCTTCTCAACAATAATCTGACAATGCAAACAATTATTTCTTCTTAGTACATTAAGATAGGCTGAATATGGTGTTCAAATACCTTCATGCTGTGGATTTACTCTCCATTTTTGTAAAGAAGTCTCAATTTCCTGACTTGATGATATAATAGCTCTATAACAAAATTAATATACATATGATACATGACTATCAGTATTCTCTAATCATATTTTATTACTGAATCCTCCCTTGGCAGTTGGAATTCGATATAAGAGTAGGCGATAGTGCCGCTGCCCGGGCAAAATTTCCCTCATAGTATACTGCATGGCGTATGCCCGTCTTCATTAGCCCAGTATAGGAGCAGAACAGTAGGACGTTAAACCCCATTTCATTTCATTTCATTTCATTACTGAATCCTTAGCTGTTAAAGGACAATATTGGTGTCAGTCGTTATCACATATGTGATAGAGCTGGTTAAATACGTTCCAAATATAATTTTACATAGGGGTTATTGCTACATTAGATGTGTAATTAATATTTCAAAAAATGGAAGTGACGAAAGCAAAATGAAAACACAAAAACAGAAACAGTATGTACATTCCTTTGTTTTTATTCATTCTACACTTTATAAAAACTTTTGTTTTGAATTTCAAAGATAACTCATGTTTTCCGTTTGTTTTAACCACTTCTATCACATATGTGATAATGACTGACACCAAGCTTATGGGAGCTTATTTGAAGTTTTATCTGGTAGAAGTTAGATCAGCAAATGTTGGATTATGAGAGGGTGGTAGCTTATTATAATTCCAGGAAAAGTGGGTGTTCATATTACCTATACCTTAAATACAGCATGTCATTCAGGCTTCTCTGATATCTATACATATTCTACATGATAACTACCTAGATTTAAACTATAAGTCTGATAAAGAATTTACCTCAATCTAGTAATAATACTTATAAATACACTAATACAATGTCTTAATTCACTTTCTCCTAGTATTCTCCATACACTGCTTAATCCGTTACCTACAAATATACAGTTTTAAAAATATGTTCTGATTGACCGTCGACAAATGGAATCTATTGATCATTAACCATAGCATTGCCATTCAATAAATTTATGTCCACCTGTAATGTTTGAAATGGAGGCAAAACTTTTTAAAGATTATTTCTTAGAATCAGGTGAATAATCTCGTTAAGATGTTTTTAAAAATCTTAACTAGTCTTGTCTGTTGGGCATTTACAAAGTTTCAGAGACAGGGGCAATAACTATACAAAAGACAAAACCCAACTCTTGAATTCGGATAGGGTTCGTCTTTATGCCGAGCCAAACAATCCTAGCAAGTTTGCAAAAGAATCTCAAAAACTCTTACCTAGAAATTATTAATGGACAGAAAGGGCATGATCATTGATTGAAGCAACTAAGCATGTGAGGGGTATAAAGACACCCTTCTCTAACATGATTTTCTTTTGATTAATTCAAATACAGTAAACCTCGCATTAGTCGGATTCTTATAAGTCGGATCTTTCTCAACTCGGATAAAATCGTTTGGACCCTTTGATCGGATTTCCTAAGTCGGATCTTCGCTCAACTCGGATCAAAATGTTCGGTCTATTTGATTTAATTCCGGCTTTTTTTCTCTTCGCCTACATCGGATCGGCAGTATTTTCACAACCGGCTGTTAAAAATACGTCCCCCTCCTCCAAACGCCATTGAAATACAAATACAGGGCAACGCATAAATTTACACAACTCGGCCATATAAGACAAAAAGAAATTGGAATTTTTGAAAAAATCGGATTGTAATTGGGCTAGGCAAATCAATAATTGACCGAAGTTTCTCAGCTTTTGGTAGATTGTAATTTTCCCCCACCTCAGCTTACCTAAATTTCATTTCGTCTTATATGGCCAAGCCATGTAAATCCGTGCGCCACCTAGACCTCAATAGCGTCCGCCAAAGCCAATGGGGACGCATTTTTAACAGCATGTTGTGTTGCACATACTGACTCTAGCGAGGTAAGCAAGGTCTTCTTTTCTCACTAAAATGTTCCTTAACATTGTTCAGGTGTTCACAGAGACTGACACACGACCGTTTAGCAGTATTACTGGGAACCGATTTTAATTTCGACAAGGATTCAATAGGACGGTTCCTGAACGTACAGGGCAATAAAGAGACCTACGTTCAGAGCTGAACTAGGTCTTTGGCTAACTCGGATCTTTGCTTAACTTGGATAAAATTGGTCAGTCCACTTAGATCCGACTTATGCGAAGTTTACTGTATATCTAGCACATCTATCATATAACAAAACTTGTATTCATAACATCTATTAAATACTTCTATAATATAAACATTCTATAGAAGCATCAATAATATGAAATATCTAACCTAATAATTTATGCTCTGAGCAAGTTAATGTTGGACTAGATTCTAGTATATCTTGTACACTATCTATATATAAACAGAACAGCTTCCATATACCATGATGTTTATGAGGATCTCCAACATCCTCCATTTCTCTGCAAAATTAAATATGGAAAATCAGATAATATAAACACCTGGGAAAAGAATTGTCAACCATAAAGGGAAATGTGTATTAAATATCAAACATTATTTTCCTAAATATATATCCTTTAATACAGCATTGCCCTAAAACTCATACAAATATCAAATATACAGTATTTTCATAAACCTTACACACATATATATTAAAAAAAAAAACATTTTCTTAAACACAGATATATATTAAACATTTTCCTAAACTGATACAAACATATTGAATATATATTATTTTCGTAAACCTTACACTTAATATATAATATATATCATACAGTATTTTCCTAAAACTATATATGTAAATATCAAAGAGTATTTTCCTAAAAATCATACAAATGTAGGCGAGTTACTGGCACTAAAAAAAACATGCTGCTAGTTGGTTGTATTCATTCAATTTTTTTTGCACTACAGGAAACAGTCCCATCTTGTCTATGACAAAATTACTCCATATTGTGGTCTAAATGTTTACATGAATATATTAATAAATATAGCCTATGGTACCTGCATAGTATATTAAAATAATCAACCAGTTTTTCTGAAATAAAGGTGGTATCCATTCTATTTTCTATATAGATATGTATTAAAGCCAAACTTCCTCTTAACACTACAGCTCTTTTAGCTAGATTTAGATTAGTAAAATCTAACATATTGTAGAAATCTATCAATTTACCAGCCTGTAATAGAAATTATTACAATCTTATCTTAAGGTAAATAATACATTTTTAACATTGGTTACAATTTCAATATATTTTTTTATTACTCAAAATGGAAACAAGTCAAATAGAAGACAAATAAAGCCAGAAAAGAAAGGGTATGGCCACTCAATCCTCCTCAAACATTTCATCAACCGAGCCCAGCTTTATCGTAAAAATAAGTATTGACTTAAAACTGAAGATTGTCTTGTTAAGAAGACATCTTTAGTTAGCTTTCTGCGTCTAAATTTCTGTTTTCTGACATATCACACACATATCTACAACTACCTACCACATCTTCTAATTCTACTGTAACAGCTAATGTTAGAAATAAAGTCGTAAAATTCTCTAATCCTACTTCAGATAATTCTTGAAGACGACGTTGATGAAATTTAGAATAAAATCTGAAAGAATATATTTATATCTAATGTCAGTCGATTAAAATCTATATTTAGCTATATTATCTAAACAAAAGATTTTAATTAATTCACAGAAATTTTAACTTTAAAGTTTTATCTGATTTTACCTGCTTTTTATTTCACAGAAATTAAAACTTTAAAACCTTAACTGATTTTACCTTCCCTTCATTTGTCGCCATTCCTGCATAGAGCCCGCTTGAACAAATCTAGACAGATTATAAGAGAGAATTCTCAGAAAGAGACCAAAACTTGTATCCTGCTCAACTCTGAAATCATAAAATATCCAATGGCAATATGTGTCAACTCTATTTTAATTGAAGATAACAAATATGTAAGTAATAAGTATGTGTATATATTTAAGCATATTTTTGTACCCTAAAAATATATAAAATTGGGTAGAATTTTTCTGCACCAACTGGTCTAATGAAGAGAGGAATACTCTATGAAGTGTGTGCCATGAGGGAATTTTGCCCAGACAGTGGCATTTCCACCCACTCTTCATTAAAGTCTAACTACCTAACAAAGAGATCGAAGTGGCACCTGATCCTGATTGCTAAGCCAGCGCCTTATTTACTAAGTCACTTTGGCTCCATACTACAGATAAGTGATACAAATCAGATATAAAAATATTTTCCAAGAGAGTAACAAATAATACTAACACATCTTGGTGGTTACTTTTACGACATTTTTCTAGTAGTGACAGTGGTGTTAAACTGGAAAAAAAAATCAACAAACGTCTCTTAAGTTTCTGAACTTTGTGTGTCTAATCTCAGTTTGTTGATGTCTGCAGCATGAATTTTTATCTGTATTATGGAGTATAATCAACAGATATTGTTAAATAAAAATTCATTTGATACATTAGAATTGTCAGATTGAAGCTAATCAAATTGTAATTAACTTGCAACTATTAAATTGTATGACAGAATGGTGGCTTTAAATATCTATACCTAACAGTAGCTAGTAAATATCTATACCTGACAGTAGCTAAAGCTCTTACACCTGATGCTGGTAACATAAAATTACAATTCTGTAAATATAGAGGTAAATAAATTACATAGATGTATCATGTTTTACACAAAATATAGGTTAATATGTTACTATCTACAATATTGAATAACATTTCTTAAAACTACATGAGTTACCTCAGAAATGAATTTTTTTTATGCACATAACTTTAGGTCTTACCATTTTTTAAAATGAATTTCTTAAGACTAATAATCATTAAAGATACATTATGGGAGATTAGATAAAGAGCTGGCAGTTCTCACTATAATAGTTAAAAACTAGATAATGTAAAGGGAATTTGCTGAAAATTTCAGTCAAATTGATCCACTCTGAAACAAGATTTTAGCAATTGAATTTTTGGCCTAGTCTCGATCATCATTACTAAAGTCAGTACGATAAAAAACAGTCCCGATTATAAATTTCATGATTAAATCATAAATGAAAGTTGAGCAGCAAATCAGATCCTAATCCAGTAAATACCGCACGCCAGCGTTGACATCAAGAGTTGATTATGGTCTGGATAAGTTAATTAATGTCTAATTAATAATTTAGATAACATTTTAGACCTAAAGAAAGACCTGCAATAGGCAGATTTAGCTCTTACATAATGTATGTTTAAACAAAAATAATTATCAGAACTAGAATTGGCTGTCTGATATTAAACAAAGCTTGATATGAGCTTAATGTTTTATAAATATTGTGGTTATAATATGTTTTATAATACATATAGTAGTATATATATACATACCAGTCTTCTAAAGAAATAATCCCATAATATAACAATTAGACTGGTTGTTGGTTCCCATATCTGACAGACGGACAAACACAGACGCAGTTGATATCTTAAATCAATTTCTGACAAATTTTCCTATAAATTGATAAATCAGTCATTATCCTAACTGGTAGCATGTAACACACATGTATCAATGGCTGTCACTTCCGGAGCCAACACACACGATAGTAAATAGTGATGATTTGCACAAAAAAAACCTTTAAATCTGGGGGCCATGGTAGTATAGGGGTCAGGAAACTTGACTTTTGACCAGAATGTCAAAGAACCTTGAGAGATCTTCAAACCTTGCCATTAATTACTTGTTAGGGGTTGTGAATACAAGGCTGAAAAAGGAAGGGTGCCTAGTTGTTCAGATGGAACGAAAACGGAGCTCCACCCAAGTACACATTGGAGCACATCATGTAAAAATGCTACTCTCCAGGCAAAATTCTTTTTCCAAGCAATGCATACAATTTGTTTGTCCCAAAATGACCAAAGTTTTGTGTTGATGAGACATTTAATAACCTTCCAGTCCATTTATTATGTTATTGAATTAATTACCTGAGTTAAGGTCCGTTTTAATATACTCTCTATCATATAATAGTTGTTATCATTCTTCTCCTAAAAACACAAACATATCAATATTCATTAAATCCATCTCAAACCCAATTCGAAATTTAAAGCCTGCAGTTTCACAGCTTAATCCACAGTAAAATATATTTAAATTGATTATTTAACATTTACAAAATCAAATTATCAAAGGCAGATGATCTCCCAGCTTTGATGCAGTCAGATTAAAAGGAGGTATCAAAGATATATTGAGAATGTCTTGACCATATCCTGCTATACTGAATGTTTACAAATTTTGAATTCATCATATGTCTTTGTGAATACTAAATGGAGCTGAACTATTTTTGAGCTGATATTTGTTTTAGAGATCCAACTATCACAATATTGTAGTTTGCAAGGGATTAACAATCTCTCAAATGAAAATCAGAATGAGTGTTACACATTAACAAAATCTGAATAAATGATAAAACCAGAAAAGTTATTATGGAAACTATACTTACAACTTTTTTTATATTGCCAGATACATCTACAGAAAACAGTCTAGCGACATTCACTGTCAACCACAAATTGAAATTGAGGCCGTTTTTAGGTTTTTCAATGGCATGATAAAATAGTGTACTGTCTAAAATAAAATATTTAATATAGAACTACATAAACGCTTCAAATCCAAAGTTTTTCTTTCTCAATTACTTGGCATAAGACATTTTTACACTGGAACAAATATGATGACTGATTAGTCAATAATCATAAACATTCTCATATAATTGCCGATTCACCCCATTTCTACCATATTACAATTTACTCTTTGATGATAGATTTAGTTGTTTGTGTGTGTGTATGTGTGTGTGGGTGAGTGGGTAGGGGGGACAGATTATTCTGCCTAATAAAGAATTAATTTTAATTGAGCCTTACAACTTGCTTGACATTCAAAAGTATTATACAGAACAAAGTAATCATTATTGATATATGAAGTGCAATGGTGTTTAACATCCTACTTTTCTGCACCGACTAGGATAATGAAGATGGGCCATACAGCCTACTCTTATTTTAAATTCCAACTGTCAAGGACTCCTTTACGTGCACGCCAATAAGTACACAGGACCTCTGTTTTCCTTCCATCCAAATGATTAGATGCTGTCCTGGCCCAGTCCCATGTTCTGCAACACTCAGAACTTTATCGGTTAACACAAGGATTGAACCCCAGACCTCTTGGTTAGTGAGTCAGCGTCTTACTCAGTGAACCACTAAGGATACCTTATTGATATACATGTTACAAAATTCTGTAAAATGCACTACCTATTTCCATATCTTCTTCTGTATTAACTGATTGATCTTCTATATTCTGTAATATTCTATGTAATCTCACCATCAAGGACTAAGGATCAAAATTATCCAAAAGTATTAAAAGACAAAATAAAATAAAAAAAGATACCAGCTAAAACTGTTCAAATTTAGAATTAAATAAAGAAACATGTGTTAAATAGTTTTATCACTTTCACCAACAAAATAAATTCAATTAATTTAGAACCACACATTAAACCCAACGTTTGATATGTCAAAGAACTATACAACGATCTGGATATTATGGATTGAGTCTATTAAACTTCTTGAAAAGCACTAAAAAGTTCAGGCATTTATAAATTGATAGTTGAAATATCCATATCTCAGTAATCATAATGTTAAATGTTTAGTTACCTCACCATTTTTCTTATTGTGCATATATTGCACAGTATGTATTATCATTACCCATAATTCAACACAACATGTACAAGTAAATACACTGACATCATTAGAACGACTTTCACACATCTAAAATTACAAGGTTTCATATTTATAATTCATTAAAATGTTGCTGTCTAGATTTTACAGTTAATTTTCGCTATATTGAACTATATTGAAATGTAAAATTATATATTCCCCACCTTGTCTTTTCTATAAACAGCTAGATTAACTAGATCAGATAATATAATATGTATAAGTTGATCTAATAATGTCATATTATTATCATTGTCTTCTACTGGTATTATATGTAGTTTTGTGTTATAATCTGAAATACAGAAGTAAGAGAAGCTAATATTTTGTTCTGATCTTCAAAAATATGGGTACATAATGGTGTATTAATATATATGATGCTTAATACAATGGCCAGTGCCAAGGGCTTTAAGCATCCATCACTTAAGTGTATGTGTGCATTGTAACTTCATGAGAATACATTTATATATAAATTTACCCAATCAAGGTCGAGCCACATTGTTAGAACAAATCTGATCAAGTAATTAAGGAGAAGAAGCTGAAAGGGCCTAAATTTTCCCAAACATTACAAAATAGCCCAAATTCAACAGGCCATTTCTACTTAATTTACTATTCTATATAATTATCATTAAGGACTAAATTCTGTTATGATGAGAAAATAAAAGACCATAATTAGAAATTATTTTCTTAGTTTTTCAGATCTGAAAAAAGTTGATAATTAATTCCAAATTACCTGGATTTTGTAGTTCTATAGTATAGATTATTTCTATTAAAGACCAATATACATCTAGATAAACATGATACTGATGAGTTAACGGGTAGCTAGACTGACAATAGAAATTACAAGGCATTTATAACAAATATGTAAGTTTACAATCACACATTAATAATTTAATGAAAATTAAATTGGCAAAAAAAAACCATTATAAACTAATAAAATAATCTTTTTATCTTCAAAGACTTCTTCAATGATATAAGTGAATAAATTTTAAAATTATGTTTTTGACTTGAATAAATTGTAGCTGTTCATCTTCAATAGAAGGTTTGATCTCGCTTTAACTACGTACATGTTATCAAGGACTTCACATAATACCCTGCATATTGAGGCACTCATTTTGACTGGTTACAAGCCGAGCTTGTGAGCCTATCAGATTCCTCGATCGTGCGAATGCCAAGTCTCGCGCTTTCAAGCTAAAATGTCTACATGTGATTATCGAGTTGCAAAGTTCTCGGTTCGTTCAATGTCAAGGTTTCCATGGAGGTCGCTATGTGACAACCTCTGATTGGATGCTACTGTTCATGTGTCTGTAGATAACGTAGCAATAAGTTCGGGAATTGTGAAGTAATCTAGCAACATCCAGATGTTGTAAAACTCGCAGTCGTTGCTTCAAGAACTTGGAAGCTGTCTAGCTGAAAGTTATTTATTGTAACTTGTTAATGTTAATACCATTCATGTAACTTCACAGAAGTTGGGTTTTTTTGAATAAAGATTATTATTATCATTAATAAAAAATAGAAGTATTGTCTGCATAAATTTGTCACAGAGCCAATGTTCAGATTAACTGTTTATTTCAAAATCAAATCTTAACCAAATTCCACTTAATATATCTTAATTATATATATGTATGGTCCCATCACTAATTTAAACAGCAATTCAAATACATAAAAGACATCAATATAAAAGACTTTTCAGATAATTAAAACTATTATAATACCATAAATCCTGATTCTGCCATGCTTAATACCAAACTGACTTGAAGATCTGATATTCTACCAACATATAATAACAACCCATGTAGATTAACAACAATATTATCTAATAATTCATGTTTCTGTTTAATATCTACAGGTAACCATCTAAAAATAAAAAATAATCACATCATTTAAAATAAAGAAGAGATGATTCTAATTCAGAAGCAAAATTATTATGATAATTTAAAAAAAGTTACATTTATTTACTTGTTGATATGCCTGTATCATTTATCTATACACTGTAGTACACAGGTTCTAGGTTTTCTGTGCAATGTAAAACACAGAATCTAGGTTTCTGTGCACTTTACTACACAGATTCTAGGTTTTCTGCACACTGCAGTACACAGATTCAAGGTTTTCTGTGCACTGTGACTGTAGTACATATAGCTTCTAGGATTTTTGTGAATTATGCACACAGGATCTAAGTTTATTGTATTTCAGTTTTTTTTTTTTTTACCTTCCAACAAACATAACAACATATTCAAGAAAAAGTTTTAGATTCTTTCTGTCTTCAAAGAACTGTATATTCTTTCCTGTAACAAATGAAATAAGTCATATATCTTTCTAAAATTTATATGGTTCATAATAATTTCTCTTCTTTTTATACGCCCACATTTTCATGTGGACGTATTTTGTCGTCGCCCCTGTCTGTCCGGACGTCCGTCCACAAATTGTTTGTGGACACTCTACAGGTCACAATTCTTACCCGATTTTGACGAAACTTGAAATATAGGTTTATCTCCAAAAGATCTTGAGTGCTTTCGATACTGGCATGTATCGGATTGAAACTTCATGGATTATGGCCCCTGTTTGTACGAAAAATCACGTTTTTAGCTTGTGGACCCTATAGAGGTCACAATTTTTATCTGATTTTGTTGAAACTTGAAATGTAAGTTTATAACCCAAACATCTCCGTTAATTTCGATATTCGCGCATATCGGACCCTAACTTCCTGAATTATGGCCCCTGATTGTACGAAAAATCACGTTTTTAGCTTGTGGACCCTACAGAGGTCATAATTTTTATCCGATTTAAAAAAACGTATTATTATATCAACGTTACACCCGAGGGATGGCTGAGTTCAAATTTCGTGAAAATCAGCCCAAAATTGACAGACAAGATGGCCGTCGTTCGTTCTCAAATAGCATAAAAATATGGTATATCAAGGTTGTGGACCCTATAGAGGTAATAATTTTTATCTGATTTTGTTGAAACTTAAAAATGTAAGTTTATAACCCAAAGATCTCGGTTCCTTTCGACATTCGCACATATCGGACCGTAACTTCTGAATTATGGCTCCTGATTGTACAAAATATCACGTTTTTAGCTTGTGGACCCTATAGAGGTCATAATTTTTATCCGATTTAAAAAACCGTATTATTATATCACTGTTACACACTAAGGACGGCTGAGTTCGAATTTCATGAAAATCGGCCCAAAATTGACAGACAAAATGCCCGCCGTTCGTTCTTAAATAGCGTAAAAATATGGTATATCAAGGTTGTGGACCCTATAAAGGTCACAATTTTTATCCGATTTTGTTGAAACTTGAAATGTAAGTTTATAACCCAAAGATCTCGGTTCCTGTCGATATTCGCGCATATCAGACTATAATTTGCTGAATTATGGCCCCTGATTGTACGAAAAATCACGTTTTTAACTTGTGGACCCTATAGAGGTCATAATTTTTATCTGATTTTAAAAAACGGTTTAGTATATCACCGTTACACCCTAAGGACGGGTGATTTCGAATTTCTTAAACAATTATAGCCCGTGCGGCAGGAATATTTCTTGCCAGTTATACCATTAATAAAGTAGTTATTTTGGTCTAATTTGTATCAGATTTAAAAAACTGTATTATTATATCACTGTTACACCCTAAGGACGGCTGAGTTCGAATTTCATGAAAATCGGCCCAAAACTGACAGACAAAATGGCCGCCCTTCGTTCTCAAATAGCCTAAAAATATGGTATATTAAGGTTGTGGACCCTATAGAGGTCACAATTTTTATCCGATTTTGTTGTAACTTGAAATGTAAGTTTATAACACAAAGATCTCGGTTCCTTTTGATATTTGCACAGATCGAATTGTAATTTCCTGAATTATGGCCCTTGATTGTAGGAAAAATCACTTTCTTCTTAGCTTGTTTTCTATCCATCTCTCGGAAATGTGGGCGTATCCTGCCTGGCAGCCGCTGGTTTTTATAGTGGAAACCACAATTAATCTAATTTGTTTACAAAAATCTTTATTCCATATCAATTTTATTGCTCTTATTTTCCCTATCTATCTGAAATGAGTAATAGCTGACAATGACTATGAATGTGACTTGTGTAAATGAATAATGCCTCCATTAATTTAAGAAATTGTCAGCTATATGTAAAATATGGAAAAAATTAATAGAATAATACCACTATAAGCCCAAATATTGTTGAATCATATTTATTCAGCAATACATATATTTATTTTGAATGTCCATTATCACAAGCTTAAACAGGTAGTATAAACAATTTGGTAACCATCAAACAATATTATATAATATGTATACATTTAATTCTTCTACTAGTTATTTAAAGGGGAAGTCAAAAGTAGATTCTATCGAATAAAACCAGTCAATTTTGTGAGAAAGTCTCTTAAAACATTTCTCCTAGGCTCTGTGTTACTATCTGAAGCTCAGTGTGGGGTTGAACATAAGTCTCTTAATTCCATGTCTATGTTCTTCCTGATGTTAAAGTGTTAAGTGTCGTGATAATCCTGTCACTCATACGTTTTTGGGTTTTTTTTCTAACACTACTTATTCAATAAATATTTACATATTATAAAGTACAATATATAATTATGGGATTTGAAAACAAGCCTGAGCTTATATAAATTCATCTCATACAGTTGAATAACGATATTTTTAAAATGAGTTATGTAAAGCAAATAATATCGAAACTGCTCAATGTTTTAATTTGAAACTTTCACACATGGTACACAGCCTAATTCTATAATGTGTTTTTTACTTAAACAGCATTTGCAAGGCAAGATATGCTCATATCTTTCAAGAGATGGACAGGGAATGAGAAAAGAAAGATAGGTTGCCAGGCAACAAATCATACATCCCCTGCAGCTCAACAAGGGTTATCGCATATTTTTTCTTTTGTCAGTAACGAAAACATTTACAACACATGAAAATCTGATTACGCATAAAAAGTCCATTAAGTAATTATCAGAAATCATTAGAATTTTTTTCGATTGTCTGTCTCCTGACCTTAAATACTGTATATAAATTTCAAAGTGATCAATGGCTATAACTCTGACAGTAATTATCGGAAATCATTGAAAATCAGTAGGATTCTTCGTCTCATGACCTTAAACACAGGGTTCCCGCGGCTTCGTCAAACATTTTTTCAAGGATATTCAAGGATAAATATACGTCAAATTCAAGGATTTCCAAGACATTTTTTAGCCTAAAGTTACAATTTTTCATCTTAAATATAACCAAAACATTACCAACTATCGTTATAATCTCATATTTAAAAGGAATTGAAGACATTTGAAACAAAATTAAGGATCTCAATTGAAAATCAAGGATATTTTCAAGACCTTGAAAATGAAATTTTAAATTTAAGGATATTCAAGGATTTTCAAGGACCGCGGGAACCCTGTAAACAGTGTGTATAAATTTAAGATGTTTCAAAGTGATCAAGGGCCATAACTCTGGCAGTAATTATCGAAAACCATTGAACATCATTAGGTTTCTTCATCTCATGATCTTAAACACTATGTACAAGATTTTTCAGCATAATCAAGGGCCATAACTCTGGCAGTAATTATTGAAAATCATTAGGATTCTTCATCTCATGACCTTAAACACTGTGTATAAATTTTAAGACAATCAGAAATTAACTTGAGCCTCTAGAGCATCCTCAAGATATTTCAAAGTGATCAAGGGTCATAACTCTGGCAGTAATTATCGAAAATTGTTTAAAATCATTAGCTTTCTTCTTCTCATAACTTTAAACATTGTGTATAAAATTAAAGTCATTCGGATATTAACTGTAGCCTCTAGAGCGGCCACAAGATTTTTCAAAGTGATCAAGGGCCAAACTCTGGAAGTAATTATCAGAAATCAGGGGCTATAATCCACATGTCAATAACGAAAGGAACCGAGATCTTTGGGGGATAAACATTTAATTGTATGCGCTGTAGCATGCCTCAGCACATGGAGTACTAGCGCTATATATTGTACATATTGTTATTATTATATTACAAGTTCTGTAAAAATCGCATAAAAATTGTGACCAGTAGAGTGACCACAAAAAAATTGTGGGCGGAAATCCTGTTGGACAGGGACGAGGCCAATATACGTCTACATAAAAATGTGGGCGTATAAAAAATATAATAACCAGGGGTGGAAAATATTGTAAAATAAAGTACTGGTTATTATACAAGACTATATACAAATTTCAACATCCTGAATGTATCCTTAGCAACAGCCATAAACAAAAGATAAGATCGGGTTTTGGTTTTTTTTAATGGTTGGTCAAACAAACAAAGCAGTGCCTAAGTAATGTTGGTGCAACTACACACTATTGACTATTTGTAAGTGATAAGAGCAGTAGGAGAAATACTAGATGTTTAAGCTGTAAGAAAGATGAAATAGTACCTTGTTGTTTAAACATATGACCCATGGTACCACCCAAAATACTGTTTACACATACTCTGCAAGATAAACACTCCATTAAAAAATAATCACGAGAAACAAACTACACAATAAGTCCAACATACAATTTACATTTACTATCTCTTCAAGAATCCGCCCATGACTCCTATGGGTTAAAAATAATAAGTAATGCTTAAGAATCATAATATATGTAGCTAAATGTTTTAACATAGGTCTATTTACAGTTAATTTAAGAATCCTGAAAACTTTTGTCAGGAGTGATCCATGAAGCCACAGTAATCAATCCCAGATCTACATGTGAACTCAAAAAGATTAATAATACATACTTAGCCAACATAAATAACTGCTGTATATTTTCTTGTAAAGCTATTTGTGTTATGAACTGATAACCAAATAGTTCTACAACAGATGTACTCCAAATACTACAACTATTAATCATTTCATCACATAATAATCTGAAAAATACAAATTTCATTTCATGATCTTCAAATGCCAAAGTTTATGTTATATACCCTAGGGTACACACTGGTATGCATGGCTTAGAAGATTTGACAGTTTCATTTTGTTGACAGAAACGCTTTTCCCGCATATCACACATAGTAACAAATAATAAATCACATCTTAGTGTCTCACATGCTTTATAGGAACTGTTCCATGACCATCATGTCCCAAACTATGAAGCAGTACACGGACAAGTTATCAAGTAAAAATATTAGTATTGAGAACACTAGCAGACAACAGACAGATTCAGTTTCCGAGGTTATCTTGTAATACTTCAATTTACAAAAACAAATCCTTTCATAAAACCTCACAATACATGATTCTATATAGCCAGATGGATTTTTGGCATGTTAGATACCAACCATTAACACGTGTATCAAAAAATGTGCACTGAAGACAACAACCTCTTAAGGCATATTAGGGTTACACATTAATACATTTTCATTTCATTTCATATTAATTACTGGCCAATTACCTTGAAAGAACACCAGATTTCAAACAACTATCTGAATGGAAAGCCAATTTTCCTGGGCTGACTTCTCCAGCACAAATAAAACATACTTGTGTTAATTTGTCACCAGTGTAAACTTCATCTAAAAAGATAACAATTGACTCAGTGACAATTAAATAGATGTTTAAGTAATTAGAAACAATGAAAATTAGGCCTAACATCATTATGTTTTAATTGTACTAAAGGTTCTTATAATACTTTGCTTTGGTACAACAATAAATACTACATGTACCTGTCCATTATCAATTCAAGGACAAATAATAATTGTTGCCCTTTCCAATAATAATTGGAGAACAAGTGATTATTTTTTTACCAAAAGCAGTTCAGTCCAGTTTGATGGATCAAATCAAATGAAAGTGATTCCCCACCCCCACCCCGAGTCATATTAGTTCAAACCAAACAGTAATCTATGGTTGAATGGTCTAATGCATGTGCTTTAGGTCATAAGGTCTGTCACAGAGTCAGATGATGTATTTTTGATCCCAAGCTTGCACATGTAACAAGGATTAATGTTGCCTGTGGCTTTTTTCCAGGACCTATAAAATTATCCACAAAAAAATGTACTATATGTTAGTCCCAAAATGACCAATTTTTTTTTTTAGTGGATGTTATACTCAATTACTCTGATTCTTTTCAAAATATGAAAACTTTTGAAAGCTTGACAGTGGACAATAGATAACACAATTTCATTTGGATAATTCAAATAAATCATAGCACATAGATGACACGTCTTGAAACATGAAATGCAAGACTGTGTTACTGTGACCCAATAAGAAGATAATAAGTATCTAAGTAACCTGTCTTTTGTTGGGGTTATCGCTGGGGATTTAAAATACAATGATATGTTTATTCAGTATCATCATTCATCTTACTCTAAATTATAGACATACGAGACTGCCCTAATATTTTCATGTATATACACACACCAATTCTTGGTCTAATATGTTCAAACAAATCCATGTAACAGACCAAAACTATAACCAGCGGCTGGCAGGCAGGATACACCCACATTTTCGAGAGATGGATAGAAAACAAGCTAAAACGAAAGTGATTTTTCCTACAATCAAGGGCCATAATTCAATAAATTACAATTCGATATGCGCAAATATCGAAAGGAACCAAGATCTTTGAGTTATAAACTTACATTTCAAGTTTCAACAAAATCGGATAAAAATTGTGACCTCTATAGGATCCACAACCTTGATATACCATATTTTTACGCTATATGAGAACGAAGGGCGGCCATTTTGTCTGTCAGTTTTGGGCTGATTTTCACGAAATTCAAACTCAGCCGTCCTTAGGGTGTAATGGTTATATATTAACACAGTTTTTTAAATCGGATAAAAATTATGACCTCTATAGGGTCCACAAGCCAAAAAACGCGTTTTTGCGTACAATCAGGGGCCATAATTCAGGAAGTTACGGTCCGATATGCGCGAATATGGAAAGGAACCGAGATCTTTGGGTTATAAACTTACATTTCAAGTTTCAACAAAATCAGATAAAAATTGTGACCTCTATAGGGTCTACAACCTTGATATACCATATTTTTACGCTATTTGAGAACGAACGGCGGCCATTTTGTCTGTCAGTTTTGGGTCGATTTTCACGAAATTCGAACTCAGCCGTCCTTAGGGTTTACCGGTGATATAATATTACAGTTTTTTAAATCGGATAATTATGACCTATATAGGGTCCACAAGCCAAAAAACACGTTTTTGCGTACAATCAGGGGCCATAATTCAGGAAATTACAGTCCGATATGCGCGAATTTCGAAAGGAACCGAGATCTTTGGGTTATAAACTTACATTTCAAGTTTCAACAAAATTGGATAAAAATTGTGACCTCTACAGTGTTCACAAGCCAAAAACATGATTTTTCGTACAATCAGGGGCCATAATCCATGATGTTATGGTCCGATAGATGCCAATATCGAAAGGAACCGAGATCTTAGGGTGATAAACCTATATTCCAAGTTTTATTGAAATCGGATAAAAATTGTGACCTGTAGACTGTTCACAAACAATTGTGGACGGACGGACAGGGGCGACGACAATATACGTTCACATGAAAATGTGGGCGTATAAAAACATTTCCAGTGCAATGTATAGCTCCTTTGGAACAGAATTCAGTTATTCTAAATCTACTACACATACATATAGGTTGTCACTGTCAAGACAATTATTGAACATGCACCCATCATAAGTTAAGTCATTCAGTATAAAGGTTCTCTGGGTCTCTATTTTAAATTTCAAATGTTTCATTAACATTATCTAATCAAATCTTTGAAATAGATGATAGATATATATTATTTCAAAAATAAATGTTAGAATCTGTGACATGTAGAACACAGCCTAACAAATGCAGATAATTTACATAAAACTATATTCAACCTTATAAATCACAGTATTTTGGAATAAATAATCCCAAAGCAATGCCAGAACTAGAGGGGGACGACATGAGAATTTTCAAATATCACAATAACTTTGAAAATGTTGAACAATAAATATTTTGACCAGTTTTGAAATGTTAATGCGAGAATTTCATATTTTCTAAGAAAGTCAAAACATAATTATTTCTATGTCTTTTGCACAATAGGTTGTCAACTTACTATTATACGATCATAGGCATCATTCTTTTACTTATAAATCCTTGACCCCGGAAATAATAACACAATTACTTCCCTTGTTTTTCTATTCCCCCCCTTGGAATAGCTGTCTTCAAACGTTTGAATTTGAAGTTGAAAATTATATTTTTGCCAATTTATCAACTGGCAGTAGTGAATTATAGGATTAGTAGGATTTTTCTTTAACAAGGTAGGACTGTTTATAGATACCATCTATTTTAAGGCTTTATTTTAATACATTTTAAAAATATAACTTAAAAATATGAAATTGCAACTTTAAAACCTTTGAAATACCTTTGCTATTTGAAGATATATTTAATGGTTGTTCTGGTAGAAGCTCCTCAATATATGTCATTGGTGACATAGGTGGTGTCATTGAAAATGTTTCATTTCTGTCAGACATACTGCTGACATCTGCATGTATATGTATCAATCATCAAGCTTACTCACTACCAGTACATACCTATAATATAGAAAAAAAACCTTCTATAACTATTTTGACAAAACAGAGAATCAACAAATGAAATCTTGATCATGTATTACTGGTTTCCAAGAGTTTTGATTTATTCCGGATGACAATATTCAACAGAACCTGCGATTAGTGTTATCAGTATCTCCTTACAACATAGGGCTGACCAGTAACTGATGAAACCATTAAATGTAAAAAATAGCTCTCGTAAAAAGTAATTATCAGAAATTGTTGTATTTGATTATTATCACAATAATCACAACAAAGAACAATTATTGTAGATCATGACTTTTGCTACTACATTCACAAGTTCCTATAAACTGATCAAGGGCAATACTAGCTGCAATATTTGTGAGCCGTGATAATTGTGTTATGCACGGCTACAATTGATAAACTATTCGAGGCTTTGCGCAAGTAAAATTAGGTTCAATTGCAAAATTTTCATCACATATCATCACAGTTTGTATTGGAAATAAGTAATTATGTTACAAATAAGAGTGGAACACTGAAATCTTAATCTTATCTTACCGAACAGTTTTTCTGTGACGTGAGATCACATGCGTGTTCTAATTCTGGTTGGGCGACCATTTTAAAATGAACAAAAATGTCACATCGCAGTCAGGTTTAATCAAATCATATAATTATGTGGAAAGGTTTCACATTTATTTCAATGGGAATTGGTTTATTATAAGTTTAGCTATAGTTAGGGGTCAGTGTAATTGGAAATTAAATTAAGGGACTTATAGGCCAGTAACTTTTGTAGTCAAATGACTACAAAACTTGCTCAAGGCCTTAGAACGATCCACTACTGTGGTTGGAGCAAGACGAAAGACATCAGTAGTACAACCATTTCTAGGGAGGGGAATGCTCACTAGTCTGCATGTTCACTAGTGAGCGGGTTCATTAGTCCACCAATATCTATTATTAGTTGTTAGGGTTCATTAGTCCACTGATATCTATTAATTATTAGGGTTAGGGTTGGGTTAGGGTTAGGTTTTTTTATACCCATATTTATAGTATTTCTTTAGCAGCAGACTAGTGCACCCGCTGACTAGTGAACACCTCTCTCTCGACTACGGCAATATCGGTACATTAACATAGTTACATAGTATAATGAATTGAAATTCGACCCTTGGCTTCAATAATCTGCACAATGCAGATCGGAAGATGACATCTGTTGACACAGAATTAACAAGATTTTACAAGGAGAACATGGGCAATAAGTCTAAAAGCAATTAACCGGAATTGTTGAAATCCCAAAAATAATGTAAAAAAAAAAATAATTATGCAAATTGACAGCAGTCTGCTCGACGTCATGTAGCCCTATATAATATGTTTTTTGCGAATGTAGTGGCATTCGGTTTGGATTAAACATAGAATTTATTAGATTACTTCATAACTAACTTACAAAATTTGTTTTACTAAAAACATAAATTTTAACGTCAGCTTTTCATTATTGAAGATTCGCGCCACAACGGAATCCACTATTATCTCCGATAATTTTGATTTCAGGAGAAAAGAACAACCAAGTTTAAATAACTCTGCCACGTATGGATACAGACCACAATTCCCGGTTTCGCCGTCAACGATGTCCGACACTCTCCCTGGCCTTGTTAAGAGTGTATCCGCGAGAAGACCATGCAAAAGTCGCAAAAAGTGCTAAGATGGGGGGTCGGAAGTTTTTGATCAAACTTATGGTATGACACCCCCTAGGGGCAAGAGGTAACATGCTGAAGTGGTTACAGTCTGATGTCGCTCTAAAGGACTGTACAGGAATTATTCATTTTATGGGTAAAATTGCGGTTTTCACATGTGTATTTATCACCTTTTTAAGCACAGACTGCATTCTATGGTGGAATAGCAACCTTCTAATTTTGACCCTGTCTGATAAAGCGGGTGGTCAACTTCTACCCCAGCACTAATTTGAAAAAAAAAATCAGTACATACTAATTTTGTGTGGACTTGTTTTAGGGTACCATATTCACATTGTCCTTATAGTGTAGAAAAAGATACACTGTAACTTTTTCTTTCATGGTCGCAAGTAGAATTTCTTTGGGTGGTTTTGAAGTGCTAAGCACATAGTATCCATAGGTGTAAAAAAAATGACCGGAATGCAACATACTTAAAATATACAGCTTATTGAAAAGTGCTAAAAAAAAGCTTTTGTGATACATTTTTTGCGAATTTAATTAGAGAAATAAAATGTTTGACTTTTATACGTTTTCATCATATCCATAGCCATTATTTGTACCATGTTGTACTCTATATAAGTGTGTATTTGTATTTATTGTTTATTTGGTATTGTCGTATTGTCCCTTTAACATATTGTTGTATTGTCTCTTTAAGATTTCATTTTCAAACAAGTTACCGAAAATGGCTACAAAATGTTTAATTTCAGAGCATGTTTCCACTATTCATTTTGGGACACATCCACTGATTTCTACAATACAGACATGTGGAAGCTTAAATATTAACGGCAACGAAGCCTAATTGCGTCGAAGTGGGTGACATTGAACAGTGTAGTATGGTAGCTACAGCTCTCGGGCACCATTAGCTGCACCTTCAGGGCCGGATTTAGAATAAGAGAGGCCCTAGGCAAACCCCCTGAACAGGGCCAACGACCGACATGGGACAAGCAACTCGGTGAGAGGGTGGGTCGGGGGAAGTCATGCGGTTGGTGGTTCGAATCTCACTTTTAGGTGAATTTTTCATTTTCCTTGGATTATTTTATTTAAAATAATGTCTATTTGAGAGTAATGGATATGTTTGTTAAGATTGAGCACGTCGAAACTCCAATGGAAGGTCGTGGACAACTGCAGAAGTCAAGTCCCGTTGACGCCAGATGAGCCATGAACGATTACAGGCCTTTGAAAGTATTTTTTTTCAAGATATTTTTATAAAACAGATACTAATGTATTTTAGGGCTGGTAGTAAACACCATATGAATGAAAAGGAAAATAAATTGTTAGTTTTTTTTTTATCTACTACGGTTAATTATCTCCAAAATAGGGAAATTACAGGTTAATTTCATGGGTTATTGTTTCCTTTACCTAGTTTTTGTCAAGTCCATTCCGGTCATTTTTATTTTTTGTATCAAATGTTGGGAGGTTGCTTGTTCACGTGAGCATAAATTTTTTAAACCCACCCCATGAAAGAAGTAGCTATAGGGCGTTAAACTTTGGGAATTTAGACAGGCTTTGATATCCAGTCCGTATACAGATCTCGTTCGCCAGAATCGTCTGAAGTTAATATTGTGGTAACAGCACTGAGTCATCGATAAACTGTGTGAGTTTGGTCTTTCTGCTACGTATAGTAAAGGTGTAAGGACTTGCCAAAGTTGGTATTTGAGAAAAGACAGATTTTGGCAATTTCACCATATGAAAAATGTTTTTTCAATTTTCTCATACAGGAATTGAAAGATTTATCTAATATTGCACATTTACGTGTTTTGGGACTATCCCAACTTATAAACCAAATTTGGTCAAAATCTGTGATTGAAGCCTTAGCACCTTCTGCATGGTTTTCTCGCGGACACGCTCTTAAAGTGTATTCTGGTCGTTGATAGAATAATTAAAGGGACAGACATTTTGTCACCTTTCCTGACCGTCCAAACATTAGGAGGTTGTGTTATAAATTTTATACAGATTCCAACACGCTTTAAGCTACTGTTCGAAATCTGAATCGTGTAAACCTTTCCCTACACGACTTTTCGGGATGTAGCCTACAGTTGTGTCTAAACTCACCAAATTATAGACAATTCCTATACATCGAATACTATTATATTTCGCTTATCACCCTAAAAAAAACCTTTGTAACATGCACAGTGTGTATAATATATCATAAACGATTAAACAGCAAAAAGAAAACAGGATAAGGGATAGACAACATCTAGAATGAAAATATATGTGACGATAAGTTCCAGTTACACATCCTGTTATAAAAATAAACAATTGGAAAATCAAAGTCGAAATTATTATTTAGTTTTTGAAAAGGCTAAAGGAGTTCTAAAGGGATCATATTATAGGTTGCACAATGAACTTTTTTTAAATTTTAAATATTGACCTATGGGAACTGTTTGTTTGGATATAAATCAAACGCAATATGTATTAAATGATATCTATTTGTCATTTTCCTCACCATGACTACATTATTTCGTCTTCATATAAAATCAGAGCCCACTCGGTCCGATGTAAGAAGATTAAATTCGGCACTGATATAGCATTCTCCTGGACGTTTTATGTTTGGGATTAATAGATATTTAATACTCTAAAATGGATCAAAAGAAGTAAGATATTTTATCAAATGTTTTATTCTATCATAAAACTACTTCTATCTAACATTTTTCTAGTTCGGAAAAAAAAATGAGTTTGGAGCTTCTGGATTCTATATTTCTGTGAAATTTATAGAGATTTGGTCTGGTTATTTGCATGTAACATGGGTCGATACCAGTATCCATGCTAACTGACAGAAATATAGAATCCCGAAACTTCAAACACACTTACCTTAACTAGCTTTTTTTTTACGATAGCACTAATTCTCAGCCGACGATGTTTTAAAATAAATATAAAAATTCTAATACGTAATAAGTTGGGGGGGGGGGGGGAGTAGAGAGAGTAACTAGGTATGGTTGGACAGGCGACCCTACTCCTTGTCACGTACAACCGGGGAACCGAAACCACACCAGTTGACTCAATGGCATACCTTATGATTCAACGTGCCAACCATTCGACTACCCAACCCACAGGATATGTTTTAAAATAACATTGCTATGACTAAATATAAAATTATGTCTAAAGTCTTTTACATTCATGTTAGTAAGCGAGATTAATAAATAACTGGTCTGATATCAATTTCTAACTCGGGGGGGGGGGGGCAAATGACTCGTCGAAAACTGATTCTCTTTCAGTATAAGGTGAGAAACGGATTGGACAATTTTTAAACGTAATCGTAGACTCGATTGTCTACCAAGCGAAAATGAGTGAATATTACCACTTGTTGACGGAATCTTGGGTAGTGAACTTTGATCCCAATGATTTAATTCCAACAAGATTTTCACCTTGGTATTAATATATATACTAAAAGATAATCGGTTTCAGACGAGTTATTTACCCCTGAGTTAGAAATTGGAATCAGACCAGTTATTTGATAATCTCGCTATGAATATGGGCGTAACAGACTTAAGACACTTAGCAGTTTGTAGAAATGGTTCCACTACTGATGTCTTCCTCCTTACTCCAGCCACAGTAGTGGTTCGTCCTACGGAGTTCTTTTGCGCAAGTTTTTTAGTAGAATTGTACTGCACATAGCTTAACATATAATAAAATAATTCCCATTGAAATAAAGGTGAAGTCTTACCGCATAATTATATGATTTGATGAAATCCAACTGTTACGCGAAATTTGTCGAGATTTCATCTGGCTGGTGTCATGGCGGCTTACATTAAAAGAAATGTCGCTTTGAAAATGTAGAACGCATTACCACAAAGAAAAATGGTTCAATAACTATTTTAGTGGTCCAGTCTTCACTATTTGTGATAGAATTACCTATGTCAATACAAACTGTTATGACATGTGTTGACAATTGTGCGTTTGAACCTATTTGTACTTGCGTAAGGAGTTTTAGACTGTATCAATTGTAGCGTTAAACACAGTTTAACGGTACGACATTTGTAGCTAAGCAGTTTGATGTTATTTTTTAAATATTTTCCACGTTACGGGCGCCTTTGATCTAACCCGCTAATAAGTTTTGAGCATTTCTTAAAACGCAACTCTTTGCGTTTGTTATGAGTTATATGCAAAACAAATTATGCATATAATTATCGAATTATGTTTTTTCAGATGCAGTGCGTGGATATTCTGCTGCTTGTGTTTATGTACTCAAGGTAAGTTTGCTTTGTTTCATGAGCTCAAACTGTATACATGTTCATACTTGTGTCTCGGTTTGACAAGGTACCGGAAACCTCATTTTAATCTCAATAAAAGTCTTGTGCTTTTTTCGAACAATATCTAATTGTTGACGGCTAATTCACACTAGCTGAATATTTACCAATTAATTAGGAAAGCAAAATCAAAATATCAATCTTGAATCCACTCATATTCAAAAGAGACTCATTCAAAATATTTTATTAAACACTCATTAGTGGCACTGAATTGTTTATATCGTCGGCATAGGATGCCGAACGTTGCGAAAATTCCAATTAATCATATTTTGTAAATACTGAACGGAACTGATCTACTTTTGTACTGATACATGTAGTCCATTTCGGAATTCGACGTTCACAATGTGTAGCTTACAGTGGATTCAAAATCCCTCATATGACAATTTGCGGCTTCATTTCAATGAATCGGTAGCGCACTTAAAATATGGCCGTAAACAGGAATTCCCTATACGAAAATAAACAATCTGATTAAAATACAGATCTATATTTCGTTTCGGTTTTTTTTATATTTTCGATGGCCTACACTGCATGAAGATCTGACAAGTTATAGCGATAGGTCACGTCAGGGGTCAAAAGACCGACTTATGACCCTATGATGTCAGACATTTGATTAACCAATCAGCATTGATGTTACTAGTCGATTACCCACAGTTCCGTGCAAAACACGCCTAAAACTCGCCGTGACAGACCGTTTCATTGGCTTATCCCTGACACCATTCAGAACACGAGTTAAATAACAACTCTTCCAGATCCAAGTGTAGTAACGACAAATAAAACGGTTTTTTTAACTATAAAAATGAAACGAAATAGGATCTGTGTTTTAACCAGATTGGAAAATAAACGACATATAGGCAGACGACCATACTCACGTACAAACCCGGAGTTGAACGCGTATCATGCACAGATACACCCATTATTGGTTCACTAATTCGAATAATACCGATCAGGCCTATGAGATTTGTGGAGTTTGTTTAATATATAAAGAGAGATCAAATACAGAATAATATTCTTAGCTTTGAATAACAGGAGGTATCGGGATACATCCCTGCAAATCTTGGTGTATATAGGCCTACAAACTATACTATACACATGTTACAGAATGCAACTTGACTAAATTTTACCTCAATTAGATCGACAGAAACTGTAGAACTCCACGTAATATAAATGGCAAACAAATAAAGATTCGGTGCCATAAAGTACACCCCAGTTTGCTTTGGTCATTCATCCGAACAATACTTCATTTGTTAGAAAATGAGATGCTAAAATTAACGCCGTAAAATTATACTGGCACTACCGAAATGACAAAGTCAAAGTGCGGTTGAAGACTAGATAGTTCGATAATTCAGTTATCGTGCCTTCAATCCAATTTCATTATCATTTTGGTGATTTCAGCTACGACTCCAATGGCGGTTTCTGGTGACACAGCTACAGTTCCAGGGGCGACTGGAACGGGTGGCCCACCTCAAGGGATGACTGGAACGGATGGCCCAACCCAATGGATTACTGGAACGGGCGGACCAACTCCAGACGTGACTGGAACCGGACAATCTCAAGTTCCAGGCGTGACTGGAACAGAGCAAACCCAACCTCCAGACGTGACTGGAACCGGACAACCTCAAGTTACAGGCGTGACTGGAACCGGGCAACCCCAAACTCCAGACGTGACTGGAACCGGGCAACCTCAAGTTCCAGGCGAGACTGGAACGGGTGACACAACTTCTGATACACAATCTACACCGTTAAATGGTATTGACACCACTGAACCAAACAATCATGGAAACAAATTGTCAGGAAAAGACTCGACTTGGATATTTTCGATAATTGTCGGTGTTTACGTGATGCTTGCTGGAAGAATTCGATAACTAAGTTTCTTATTAATCTATAGTGATGTACGTAGGCTATTGATATTGGATTTTGTCTCTAATGAAACGCAGTTTTATTACGAGTCGATAAAGGAGACAATTATGAAACAAAATGAATTATTTGTTGATCTGAACAATAGAACGGTACGTCTTTAATTCGATTCTAAAGTAGATGAAGTATGTAAGCTTCACCAACGATTAATAATGAAGGTAACACCCCCGTTTCCCCTCACGTTACTGCACATCAAATGTAAATAGTGGTGTAGAACACGTTTATTCCATCTTTTTTTTTTTCTTCAAAAATTGTTCTTCTTTCCATTAGAAAAATAATTTCCATGTTAAAATAGGCTTACCAGATGATGTAATGATCGATGATATAACCTGTTTATTACTTGTAATTCATTTCAAATGTTAAAAGAATATTTGTATTTTTACGTTTCAATGGTTTAATTTTGGTATTTGGTGTATCCAGAGCATAATCAGAAGGATTGTGAACCAATCGTTTACAAGTATAACGGATGAGAAACACCTGAGAGATTAAAATTTCTTACATTATCTTTTCTCACATTTTATTTTATTGTATTATGCTAGACAAGATATAAGTTCAAGAGCTAAATCTGTCTATTGCAGGTCTGTCTTTAGGCCTGAAATGTTATCTAAATTATTAATTAGACATTAATTAACTTATCCAGACCATAATCAACTCTCGATGTCATCGCTAGCCTGCGATGTTTATTGGATTAGGTTCCGATTTGCTGTTCGACTTCCATTCATAATTTAATCATGAAATGGATAATCGAGACTGCGTTTTTGTCGTACCGACTTTAGTAATGATCATCGAGGCTAGGCTGAAAATTAAATTGCTAAAGTCTCAGTTCAGAGTGGATCAATTTGACTGAAATTTTCAGCAAATTACATTATCTAGTTTTTAACTATTATAGTGAGAACTGTCAGCTCTTTATCTAATCTCCCATAATGTATCTTTAATGAAACGCTCCACATAGTAAGTCATTTTCTGACATGTGATAAATATTTATTTTTGTATTACATTTTTGTACAACGTTTGTAATAAAGAAATTTGATGTTTAATTTGCCTTCTGAAGACCCAACTAGCCTCTGTTCTGAACACTATACATGTCCCAGAAATGCACTGAGAAGGAGCCTTTAAGTGAGTCCGGTGGCGACGTCAGCCGCAGGTGGTGGTTAATTGAGGGCAAAGATAGAGAAAAATGCCAGCTTGACGAATCGAAGCCCACAGTAGGTTCAGGGGGCCTCTTCCAAGAAAATTCTGAAAAACTGACGGTCGGAAACGCATTTTGTAGTATTTCAGATAAATACAGCTGCTTAGGGCCACAGCAGCTAAATCGTCTGAACGGTCGACAAGGGTTGTCGCATATTTATTCCTTTGTAGGTAATTGGGGGTCTTTACAAGACAGTTCTATACAGATAAGATTATAATTTTTGTCGTTTGAGGGTTCACAAGGTTCTACAAACTGAAACAAGGGCCTCAACTCTGGAAGTAGTCTTCAGAAATTGTTGAAATTTGACAGGCTTTTTCGTTTTACTAATTTAAATAATGAATATAAATTTCATACAGATCGGATGATCACCTTTGTCATTCAAATGTTCACAAAGTAAAACAAGGGCCATAACTCTAGAAATTATTGACGGAAATTACTGAAATTCAATAGACCTCTGTTTCACAAATTTAAATGATGCATATAAATTGCATACATATTGGATGATAACTTTCATTAATCGAGCATTAACAACGTTGAACAAAGTAAAACAAAGACCATAACTCTAGAAGTAATTATTATAAATTGCTGAAATTCAATAGGCTTCTTCGTTTCATTAATTTAAATAATGCATATAAATTTCACAAAGATCGGATGATAACTTTTGACATAATAGCATTCACAAGGTTCAACAAAGTGAAACAAGGTCCATAACTCTAGATATAATGAACATAAATTATTGAAATTAAAAAGGCCTCTTCATCTCACTAATGTAAACCATATATATCAATTTTAAAACAATTGAATAATAACTTTCACAAGAAATTGTGGACGACGGAAAAACGACAATATACGTCCACATTTCCATGTGGGCGTATAAAAAACCACTGCAGGCAGAAATACAATAATTTAATAATAAAGTACAGGCTGCAATCATACGTCCACAGTAGCTAATTCATGCGAGGGATAGATACGGGTTGTGATCGATAAGGGTTATTCCATATTTATTCTTTTGTAGGAAGTGAGCGACATTTACAATTTCATACAAATTTAAACATGGGCCTTAACTCTGGAAATAATTTATAGGAATTGTGGAAATTTGACAGGCTTTATAAATGATTTAAATACTGAATATAAATTTTATACAGATCTGATGGTAACTTTTGTCATTCGAGCGTTCACAAGGTTCCACGAAGTGAAACAATCTCCATAACCCTAGCAGTTTTTAACAGAAATTGCTGAAATTCAATCAGCTTCTATGTTTCACTAATTTAAATAATGCATATAAATTTCATACAGATTGGATAATAACTTTTGTGGTTCAAGCGTTCACAAGGTCTAACAAAGTGAAAATAGCTGAAAATCTATTGGTTTCTTCGTTTCAATAACTCATGCATATAAATTTCGTACATATCGCATGATAACAAAGTGAAACAAGGTCCACATACCTACATGTAATTAATGAAAATTGTTGAAATTCAATAGGCTTCTTCGTTTCACTAATTTAAATGATGCATATAAATCTCATACAGATGGGATGATAACTTTTGTTAGAGTGTTCACAGCATTCAACAAACTAAAACAAGGGACATAACTCCAGAAGAAATTTACGGAATGTAATGTAAACAACATATATCAATTTCTAAACAATCAGATAATAAATGTAGTCTGTTCACAAGAAATTGCGGACAAGGGACTTACAGGGCAACGGCAATATACAACCACATTACCATGTGGGCATAAAAAAGTATCGTATACAATAATCAGTTTATTTATTTATTTAATATAGGCCTACAAATTCATAAGTGGTTTTAGTGTACATTAAAAGATCTAATCATATCATAATATACATTTAAAATATTTCATTGAATTAATTTAGTAGATTAACATTATTTAAACTTGTACACCCAGATACATGGTGATAATGTAAAAAGCAATTGGTTCTATTGATTTTATTTAAAAATATTGACATTAACATGGACAAATGCAAAGTGACTATTTTAACCCTCAATAATGGAATAAATTAGGAAATGCATTTTCTTTTAATACATTATAAATCCATAATATGTCATTTATCAATTTGCAGGTACATATAAACAAGGTTTAACTCTACTCAACACACCTAAATCATGTTGAGACTAACAAATAGTAATTCTTATTTTTACTCTAGGGCTCTTTTTTTTATATAATAATCATCCACAGAATATCGAGCTTTTGAGACGGGCTTTCAAGTCGTCTCAATCATAACATTTATACAATTTGGTTTCAAGTTCAACCCAAGATCATTATGAAATGCTTCACACAGACCTCTATACATACAGTATAAAATTTGAAACATAATCTTGGAGAAAATTGATTCCTGCTGAGATTACAGGCTTTTCGATGTAGCATAGTAGATTCTCTGTGTGTTTATGTTACCTTGTTCAGTCTAATTTGTTAACATATTATTGTTTTCAAAATCATGATTTGAATCACAGAGATGAGCATTGCAATCACAGCACAGTGTTACTCAAATAGACCATATACAATTATAACCATGAATATATATTATGAAAACCATATAAATAAACTACTGAATTTTGTATATATATATTAGAGTATAAGTCCTAACCTCTCCATTATTATAATACTGACTTAAACAATGACAAAATATATATTACATATTAGTTAAAATTCAGAATTATAAAAATATTGTTTCTGGCATTACTTTCAAACGTGCTTAAGCATTTTACCAAACTATTGCAGTAATAATGGATATATAAATCTTTATCAACCACCCCTGTATTTTATACAATTATGTAGAAAAAATGTACATTTTAAAAATATATCAAAGAAATTGTTTGAGAAAGAAAGCATTTATTGATAAAAAGCTGAATTTATCAAGGCAGTGAAATGAACAATTATACAATAAATGTTCTTATAGAAACCCAAATTTTAAACTGTTTTTTTTTTCTGATTAAAAACATAAAATGTACTCTGTAAATTGCAACATTTGAGCTATGAAATTTCATACATACTGCTTGTAAGAAGGGAACTGTCATAATGTATGAATCTAGATTAAATAATAAAAAAATCTACAAAGCTAAAAGTGATGATCAATATAAGAGTCAGTCAGCAGTCTATTATAGCAACTCCAATATAAACACAGTAAAATGTGTAAGGGCATATAAAAAAACAACAAAACAATCCTTCAAAAAATTCTTATTTTGAAAATCAAGAAAACTATATTTAATACTGCCCTTAAATCATGTATTCATTGCAGCATAACCCTGTGTATAGTTTATACCAGTCTTCACCTGTTTGTATAATGTAACTCACTTATAAATTCAGACATCATTAAAATACATGTACATGCAATAACTTCTAGTTATACAGTGTCTGTAATTTTACCATTCTACAAGTAAATATTTACCTGAAGATTGAAACATACTTCCCTTAGGTCTAACATTCGAAATACAAAAACTCTTCCCTTAGGTTAATCATTCAAAAAACAAAAATTATCTGAAAACATGTTCTACCAACCAGGAAAAAATAAAATGACGGACCTAAGATGTGTATTTAGCCTGTAATAATGATACAGCTTTAGTAAACATCAAAGACAGCACTAGAGTATGTTTCATGCAGTATCTGCATGCTATTTGAAAAAAGACAACCCATAAATGGCAGATATATTAAAACTTAAAAGCGGTTTAGGTATATTTCTGAACAGATAGTAGCATAACTACAATCTTAATGGAATATATGTTTAATGCTTCCAAATTATATTGTCCATAAAACTTAGGAAATGTAAAGTTGTATATAAATGAAAGTAAATAAAACAAGAGTTCAATGCATGATTAAAACAGGTAGCACTGATAAAAGCACCAAGATAATAGTCTATTATGAAAGACATGACATAACATATGTACAAGATAACAAAATCACAAATAATATGCTCACGTGGGCGTAAAAAAAAAAATATAAGAAAACCAATAGCGTAACATTATACACACCACTTTAAGTATATTGTACAGCTGGATATTGTCTTTTTTTTCAATTGAATCTGGGAATAACCTTAATAAAACAGATGGCTTGAAGGAGCTGATTGTTTGAACAGCTTTCCATATACATATCTCCAGATATCTGTACATGTTGCATTAGAAAAGATTATCACCAATCAATTGAAAGTCTTTTAAATATATATATTCAATTAATATCTGTTCCAATTATTAATGTAATAGAAACGTCTTATAGCCCAACAATATATTCTAATCATACAGTACATATAACTCAATGACATAATATATAATACATACATGCAAATTTGGAGCAACTGAACTGTATTCTTAAAATATATTTTTTGTCTTTTCTCTATCAATAATTAACTTGTAAATGCCAAATGCATGAACTGCATATAAATTATTATTTTACTTAAAATTGTTTAGAATATATATTTTTGTGCAAAAATTGTACTTCTGCAATAAATTTCCAAAACAATTTACTATTTGTTTTAGTACAATAACCATATAAAGTCTGAAGTCGTTAGAAATCAAAACATACAGTAGACTTCGCATATAACGGACACTTTTGGACCGGAAGAAATCGTCCGTTATAAACTGTGTCCGTTATACAAAAAATCTGTTATCCCATGAAATAACATTATCATATGCAGAATCTACAGAACATGCACGTATTTACATAAAAGTCATGTATGTATTCACATATTATGGATGTTCAAAATAAACGAGCTTATGTGAAAGAGTCTGTTGTTATTCGGGATTTCCGTGTGTGTGGAATCGTTGTTGTGTCTGGGCTGAATTTTCCAGGAAAAATGTTTCCGTTAAAATCATTATGGATATTTTTTGGGAAAAGTATCCTGGTCACCGATAATATAAAATCAGTAATATCATCATTTTATTCTGCTTATTCGAGAGTCCGTTATAAAAATGGACTTTTACAATGATTTGTCGATTAGGGACCGATGAAAATCGTCCGTTATAAACAATTGTCCGTTATACAGTGTCCGCTATAAAAGACTTTAAAAATAAGAAATTTCTATTACAAAAATCAGGACCAAACTGTTGTGTCTGTTGTAAGCGATGGTCCTTTGTATGCAAGTCCGTTATATGGGGAGTCTACTGTATTTTTGTACAGATTATTATAAACAATGGCCCACTGAATATTACACCTTTACTTTATGCATCATATTATTATCTTAATCTGCTGATGGAGATATAGGTATACATTTGGCAGGGACAGGGTAAATTAAAATTTACAATAGATCCTGAGAGTTGCTGATGTTCGAGTTTAATTCACTTGAGCGATTTTCATTGGAGAAGTAATATGTGAAAGATACTTTTGATACCAGAACATCTGATGTTTAACCAAAAATACCATCGTAACTGGCTTGCTACACAAATAGAAAATGTATTAAATCTGTTTGAAAGCAAATAATTACATATATATTTATAAACAAATTAATTGGGATAGGGTATATGTTATGTTACTTTAAGAAAAAATTAACTAAATAACTAAAATATGAGAATATTCCATATCAAAATTGAATAATACTCTCAAATTGACATTTTATTATGAGATATAAAATCCTTAAAGAAACATTTAAATTCAGATTTACTTTACCTACCGATTTGTTGTGGTTAATGACATTGCTCAAAACTATATCAATTTACACTAAATTGTTGGCTTTTTGACTTCAATAGGTATATTGTTTCATAAACTGACTTTACATAATGAAAATATCATTGTTGGTAGGTTGTCATTATTTTAAAGAGGGGATTACTGTACGAGTATTTGCAATAACCTGATTAACAGCCTTTTTACTATCACATAATAAATCAATTTACAGCTATATCACAAAATCAACCACCAAATTTGTTTTAACATGTCTCTGTCTAAGGCTACAATGAAAGTCAAGACTTAACTTTGACATACTCAACCAAGAAGAAAACAAAAACATACATTGGATATTAACATATCAGATTAAAATCATCTCTCTAATTCAATGTTTGCATCTGATCAAAATCAAGGAGGATTTCCCCTTCATTCAATTGGAAAAGTATATTTTTTTTTTGTCTTAACTACATTTAAAAACTATAATCAGTGCATAAATAAATCAATCTGTACATGGTGTAGATATATTCTATATATTTAAATAAACCTAAAACTATAACATACAGGCCTTCAACTAGAATGCATACTCTTTTATGTAAAAGACCTGGATAATGGCCATCTGCTTGATCATAGAGTGAATATTCTTTCTGAGATTCAGTCTTTAGTCTGCCTGAAATTTTTTTCACTTATTTCCAAGCATTATATTTTAATATACCTATGGTTTCTCAATGCCTAGTAAATATTCAGCTACACCTAAATAGTAGACTGTCTGTGCTATACCAAATAATGGTGCTATCACAAGAATACGACAGAGAGCACCTTTAAAAAGGGCTTTAGGTCCTTCATTTTTCAGTACCTTGCTGCAAAATAAAACCAAATAGATGTTGTTAACTAAATACTTTAATACAATTGAAGCTATCATTGCTATCATGGCTAAGTGTCGCGTGTTCGATCCCTGCATTGACCTGACAAGGACAGCTCTCTAGTCATTCTGATCGGAAGAAAAACCGAGGTCCCATGTATACATTAGCATGCACGTAAAAGATACCTTGGCAGTTGGAATTTGATTAAGAGTAGGCCATAGTGTTGCTACCTGGGCAAAATTTCCCTCAGAGCACAATGTATGGCGTATGCCCGTCTTCATTAGCCCAGTCGGAGCATAACAGTAGGACGGCAAACACCATTTCATTTCATTTTATTGCTATTAGTTTTATTTAATTCTCAGTCCAATTAAAATTACACCAACATTTCTTGTTCTGTTTCTTTTTATTAGAACTCCACAACATAGTTGATCAAAAAGAAATTTCAACTAACTATTTCTACATTTCCTATGAGCTGACAATATACCTTCTTTGTTAGAAAAGAGAATTGGTGTCTTGAAAATTGCATTGCATGTGCTAGTCCTCAATATTAAATAAAACAATATGTTTGAATATTTACCCGAAACAGTCTATAATACCACTATATGTTTCTTCACCAACACCTTTATGTAATGTCTGTAATCTAGTCTTTACAACTGTAAATAACAAATTTATAGAGAAAATTCAAACATTATTCTTCAATAGATGTATTACATTTTAGAGATGGACCGGCAGCTAGAAGATCAGAATAGCAAATAGAACATTAGCACACTTTTATGGTAACTGGTTGTCTAGCTGTTCATGTATATAATTCTCATAAGGTTTTAGTCTTGCAAAAAAACCCAGAAAGGTTTTGGTCATGTAAAAAACACAGAAACCCAGTTTGATTTTAGCTGTAATGGAGTATCTGTGATATAAGTTAGCGTGCTATTCAATCGATATAATTTTTTATCCAACCAGAATCTAATAGTAATTGCAGGAGAACTGCACTACACGTAAAACAAAACCGATAAGAAAAACCTTGAGACAAGACAAACTACACAGAAACTGTAATAAATAGACAACAATTTAAGTAAATGGATCTGGGGGCCAGCCATAAGCATCCATGTTGTGCTTCAATATTATGTTATAAAATGAAAGATGCTGGTTCTTACCATCAAACGGATTAACTGATAACGAAGCTGTACAGCCAGCTATACAACCTGATAGAAAGGAATGGTAGAAAACAGCTTGATCACTTCCTTCACGTCTTTTACCCTGAAATAAAACAATCTTATCTTACATGAACAATTGGTATTACCTTTATATAAGATAAAAATAGGACTTCTAAAACAGCTAACATGTGAATTATATTAAACTCCTTCAAATAATTATTATGAATACACATGTGGTTATTCTCAATTATGTAATTGTTTGGGTCAATTTTTTCAATGACCACTGCCCCGTCTGCATTGACTATGGGAGGCAAATCCATGTATATGAAGCCTTACGAATTAGAATAAAGACGAGCATGTAGAATCAGTGTGTTTAGAAGAAATTAAACCCCAAAAGGTGCTACAGCCTACTCTAAATGACACGCGTTGTGACTTGCCAGGTAATCTGTCCTACATCACTGGCAAGAGGAAAACCACTCTGGAAGCTTGTCAGCAACACCGAGACCACCTGGTTAGCAAACCAACACCTCACCCACTGTGCCACTGTGGTTCCCCTTATGAATTAATGTACTTACCATAGCATTAAGATGAGCAAATAAAGGAAAATAAATAGCTGAGAAAGTCACATCTCTTAGAGCAGTTGCTCCACAACCTTGATAGAGACCAAATATACCCTTTTGTCGTACTAGCTGTAGAGCTATTTTAGTAGCTGATAGTCTAGGGGGTGGTGGTTTGGAGGTAACAGCAGGATTATTAGCATTACTATTAGCTGCCAAGTCTATAGAAGCTGTTAATAGACAAAACGGACAAAAACATTAAGCTCATGCATGTCATTTACATTAATTCAAAATTGAAGTATAACTTGACGGAAACATTTCATCAAAAGCATTAAATGATGATAACATCTTAATAAATATTACACAATAAAATAACAATGCGCACATAATGATCAATAGATGGGAAACCAGTGGCTGTCAGGCAGGATACGAGCACATTTTGCAAGAGATGGATAGAGAACAAGCTAAACAAAAAGCGATTTTTTGTAAAATCCAGGGCCATAATTCAGGAAGTTACGATCCGATATGCATGAATACCGGCAAGGAACCAAGATCTTGGGGTTATAAAGCTATATTTCAAGTTTCATCAAAATCGGATCAACATTGTGACTTCTAGAGGGTCAACAACCTTGATATACCATATATTTACACTATTTGCGTACGAGGGGCGACCATTTTGTCCGGTAGTTTGGATCCGATTTTCACAAATTTCGAACTCAACCGACATTTCAATGTAACACAGTGATATATTCGAACGTTTTTTTTTTTTAAACGGATAATAACTGTGACCTCTATAGGGACTACAAGCTAAAAACATGATTTTTCTTATATGATCAGGGGCCATAATTCAGGGAATTACAATCTGATATACGCGAATATCGAGATATTCTATAGACCTATATTTCAAGTTTCGTTAAAATCAAATAAAAATTATGATCTGTAGAGTGTCCACAAATCAGATGAAAACTGTGACCGCCAGAGTGTCACAAGCTAAAAACGTGATTTTTTGTATAAACAGGGGCCATAATCCATGAAGTTATGGTCCGATACATGCCAATATTGAAAGGAACCAAGATCTTTGGAAGATAGACCTATATTTCAAGTTTCATTAAAATTGAATAAAAATTATGATCTGTGGAGTGTCCACAAAGAAATTGTGAACGGATGGACAGGGGCGACAGCATAATACGTCCACATAAAAATGTGGGCGTATAAAAAATCCAATTTTTCTACAATTCACTGGCAGTGTAAGTGTATGTGCAGACTGCAGACTATGAATATTTGGTTATTTTTCTTGGTCACTGGATAATCTATGCTCCCATAACAATGATCAATTCTTACATATCATGCTATGCTACTCAGAATCCAAAGTTCTGCTATGACTAAAAACTTACCACTCCTGCCTGCATCTTGTAACTGAATTTTCAACAATTCCATGGGTGTGGTAATTATTATCTGACACATGCCAGCCCCAGCTCCGGACAATACCTCTCGGCCAAATGTCAGCTTTCCCCTTAAATATATACATTACAGTTTTGATATCATTGCCAATGAAACTTGACAACACAATCACAATGATATTTTGGTCAGCAGAATAGACCTCAATATGTACACGGAGGTGGGGGTGTTATTGGCAGCTGTCGCCTCTTCCCCTAACTTTCGAGCAATGTGGCTTTTCGGGCACACAGGTAAACTTAAAACAAAAATTTTCATTTCATTTAGTTGGCAAAAGTAAAGTACCTGAAATTTAATAAAACACTCATTTTACTTTTCTTTAATTGAATACCACAAATTTGTACTGAATTGACTATGGATTAAAACATTGATTGTATGGGATTCAGGTCAGCCACCTAAGGTAGACTATATATTGGACCACATTGAAGTTGCTTTATTCACAGACTGGAATAGCAGGAAAACTTGTTTCCAACAGTTAAATTTTCTGAATTTTCTCCAGAAATGGGGTTTAACGTCCTACTTTTCTGCACCATAAAGGCTAATGATCTAAATGGTCAACTCCCTACAAAATTATGATGAGGAGATTGCCAAATGTGGTCCCCATTGTGCCTATAAAGATTGGAACCAACGGAATGTTGAGCTCAGCAAAAAGCTACAGCCTGTGATGTTACAGCCATTTAACACTGAAGTCAATTGGCAAATAATTGCTTGTCTGAGTCCTTTATTTTCGGTAAAAATGTCTGACAAGAAAAATTTTGAAATCCCATCACTGTTCTGCCCCCATAAAATTCATCGTGCCAATATGCCTATGGGTACAATTTAGATATCCTTGATTGTCTTGTAGAGAGTTTACAAGGTTTTAGTGACAGGGAAAATAACTCCAAATAAAACTGATGACCACCGAAACAATGCCAGCAAGTCTGAAAACAAAATCTCAAAAACTCTGATATGTAGATTGTTTACGGACAGGGGTGATGTTTGAAATATAGGTGTATAAAAAAAATCACTTACTTTTCTGTGCTAAGTATGTGCCTGAAAAAATCATTTCCTACTAATTTAATAGCCTTTTCTGGTGTAATTAATAATAAATTAACACCAGAACCTGAAATAAATATTTATGTACACCATGTTAATATAGTGAGAGAGTGGTTTTGGATTTTAGAAGTCAAGAAGGAATAATAATCACAATATAATCTAAATCAAAACTGTTAATTAAATACCTTTATACATCCCAAAGAATCCTTCATTTCGAAAAGTTTTTACGCCACAGTCTAATCTGAAAAATAAATTTTTTAAAGCACATCAGATCAGGGACCAGGAACTGTATAGTGGAAAATCTGCACATTTTCAGCTTAGACATTTGTGACTTTACCTACTTTATAACACGATGGATTACAACCCCATACATCAGTAGATATTTTAATTTTTGTTCCTTGGGTGGTAATTATTCAAATATATTTGTTCAGCCCTACTGAGGCATCGCTTGTGGTCCTTGAAAACTCAGACTTGGACTTTTTCTTCTTTTAAGAAGAAAATGTACTAAAACAACATTTTGTAATATACATTTTAGTCTACTGCAAAAATATACACCTGCTTTAGTAGATATTGACATGCAAATATTGGGAATGGCTTATTTTAATCACAGGGCTCATCATCAAATGTCAGTCTTACAACTTAAATGATAATAAATGAAATGAATTGAAATAGAGTTTATTAACATGCAGTTTGCTGTATCGAATTCCACAATCAAATATGAGAAGGAATTACAATCAGTGGTTGTATGCTAAAGCACATCATAGTTATAAAATACAAGTCAGTCTTTTGTTACTTTTATCCAAAATTGATATCTCAACCGACTAAGTTGTTTTAAGAACCCAAATATGCACATTCTATGATGTCTTTAACAAAATCAATATGGCAATCTATAATATATAGATATATCCAATGACAGTTTTCCCAATTTTCCTTACAAGTTTTTGTAGAGAAGCTGACCTCCAGGACCTGGTTGTTGATTCTGTAGTCTTGTCTTTACCAGATCAATAGGAAAAACACACGTCACACCTACAATACCAGCAATACCTCCATTGATGACTTTTGGCAATAAGCTAAAAAAAAAGAAAAAAATTATTATCATTAATAAAATATATTTTTGGGTTATTTAGATTTAGAACTACATGAAGTAAAAGAGAACAAAGAATTAAAGCATAATGACTTCAATGTACGTTGCATCTAAAGTTGGGAATAGTAATGTCATTTTTGTTACACTGTCACTCAGTGTCAATAAATTAAGCTAATGTTTTATTCCATGTTATTTCTCAAATCTGGAATAAAGTTACACATTTATGGACAAATAATATTAATAATAATTTTCTATAGTGCTGAACAGTGAACACTCAGTTTGATAAGCCCTGTGGAGTTTCAAAGAATATGTTTTAAAATGAAAACTTAATTACGCTTGATATAATATAAATTATCAACAATTTGTTTGTGGTAAAATAGGAAAAAAAAGTATAACATATTTTCTTACCTGAATTTTGAATCCATTGAACAAACAACTGATGCCTATGGCTTACCAAGAATATTTATGTAGCTAAAAAAAATAATAGATAGATAGAGTTAAATGTTTCAAGGTGATATAAATAAAAGCAATGACCTCCAAACTTTATACAAGTATAATGTGTACTGGTTATTCTGTTAACAGTATAATTTATTAGATTACATTGATTATATCATAGCTTCGGCATACATGTAATCTGTTGATACAATTTATTCTTGAGCAGGTTAATCAAATTACCAGTGGTCTTATGTCAGAAAGTTTGAAATATTTATCAGAGGTCTCTGAAAATACACATTGTTACTGTTGAATACTAGGTTTGACAGATAAGAATATGATATATGACACATTAGATTATGTTAATTTAGGCCAACTTGACGAGTTTTATATTATTATCAAAAGATTAAAAAATGATAGACCAGCATCTAACACCAGATCATAAAAAAAGGAAAAGCAAATTAAGCAGAAAATATTTTTATAGCATGTCAATTTATCCCATGATTAAACATCAAGGTTAATTATTATTAATCTTTTCTGAATGCATGCCAGATTAATAACTTACGGTAATTATTTTAATGTACAAATTAAAGAAACATGTGCCAGTAAATTAAGGTTATTATATTAACCTCCTGCTAGGGAAAGAAAGAAATTATAGCTGCATTGCTATTTATAATTAACTTTTCTTAAAAAATAATAGATTTCAAACTGATTAAGAAACTCTTTTAAGAACAAATGACAGCATGTTTTTACCTTTTTCCCCCTATCAACAATATAAAAATACTTTCAAAATACCTAGCTACTTTACTCACAGGCATAACCACCATACCTTCTTCCATTGCAGTGGCAAAACAGAAAGTAGGTCCATGTACTTCAAGCACATAACCTAAGCTAGATAAAATCAGGAAAGTTCTCTTTACAATTAAATACTAAGTTATTTACCATGCAGTGTGCCATATGATAACTTAATTAACTCCAGTGGTAGTAATAATATCAGGGAAAAGAATAATCAAAGGACCAAGGTTTTAAATAAAAATGTTGACCTGGGTTTATCTGGAGAAACAGTCTAGTGATGAGTTGTGTAACATACAAGGCACAAAAGCCAAAACTAAATTCAAAGCAGTTGGCTAATATTGTACATGTAACATTGATGTCACTGCCCTAGTGCACTTATCCCAAAATAAATAGATGACACTCAGTTATCTTTTTCAATGGCAACCACAAATCAATTTTCTTATATACATGACATGTACCATATCCAGTGAAATTGACTTTAAGCATACAGAAAAAAACAAGGTAAGTGGTAAGTGTTTGAGAATGGTGGGCCTATATTACTCAGTTTTGGAGGAAATCAAAATTCCCTATAAAAATATAAAATAGATAATTTTTAGATGGCTTATATAGACAACTTGCCAGTTCACATTAGTGAATGCATGATGATATTATGCACCCTTCCTGCTTATACATTAGTGAATTTAGTGATAATTATTATTTTAAATAAAGGTAGGCTAACTATTGCTACTTATTATGTTGTGAAAGTGTGAGATGGTTCCTGGTGAGTGATTACTGTTTAGCGCATGCGCAGTTGTAGGAGTCAGCTCACACCGTTATCGACAAGGTGTGCATTGACTCCCCGTGATAGGATTTTCCCAAAGGTTTTCTTACGGTCCAATAGGTTTCTACACTATTATCTACCAATATTAAATTTTACAGTAAATAACCGTAGAGGGTGTCGAGTTTCTATAGTTTGTATATTTCGATAAAAAGTAGAAATACAAATTGACTAAGGCGCGGATTCACCAATAAAGTGAGCCGTAGCAATTCTCTTGGAGCGTGACGTCATAGTGATATTTTCCCGTGAATGCCTCCCATATGTAAACGGTAAACTTGCTTACGTTTCGATAATTTTTGAGTCTGAATCTTTGCAGATATTGAGACTGATATTAAACTATCACAATACAATTGCTAGTAATACATTTAAATAAAATAGTAATTCAGAATCGTAGAATGAAGCGGGCTATATTTCAGCCGCTGGCTGTCAGATTTCACAGCTCACGCTAAAGTCATGTGACTTGAAACCCCTAATATGAGTAATAAAACAGATAGGCTATATTGTGAAGTTGTAAAAATTTAGAAGTACAAATTAAAATAACAATGATACAGAGAAATCCCAATCATATAAAGGCCAATATTTAATGTACAAAATAGTTAATTATTAAAACATCAAAAAGTGTAACTACTAATCACTAAAAAAAAAAAAACCCCAGATAGAGAACAAGCTAAAAACAAACATGATTTTTTGTATAATCAGGGGCAATAATCCAGAAAGTTATGGCCTGAAATGTGCAAATATCAAAAAGGACAGAGATCTATGGGATATAAAGATGTTTTGAGTTTCATCAAAATCGGATAAAAATTGTGACTTCTAGGGGGTCGACAACCTTTGTATTACACACTTCTACACAATTTGCGTACAAAGAGCGGCCATTTTGTTGGGCAGTTTCATTTCGATTTTCCCAAAATTCAACCTTCATTATGGTGGAATGGTGATGTATTTAAAAACGGTTTTTAAAATCGGAAAAAAAATTGTGACCTTTAGAGTATCCGTAAGCTAAAAATGCGATTTTTCGAACAATCAAGGGCCATAATCCTGGAAGTTAAGTTCGGGTATTCGCGATTATCAAAAGGAAGTGATATATTCACACGTTTTTTTTTAAATCGGATAAAAATTGTGACCTCTACAGAGACCACAAGCTAAAAACGCAATTTTTCATACAATCAGGGGATGTAATTCTGGATGTTATGGTCCGATATGCACGATTATCGAAAGGAATCGAGAACTGTGGGTTATAAACATACATTTCAAATTTTATTGTGACCTCTACAGTGTTCACAAGCTAAAAACATGATTTTTCGTACAATCAGGGGCCATAATCCATGAAGTTACAATGCTATACATGCCAATATCGAAAGGAACCGAGATCTTAGGGTAATAAACCTATATTTTAAGTTTCATTGAAAATTGTGAACTGTAGAGTGTTCACAAACAATTGTGGACGGACGGACAGGGGCGACAACAATATACGTCCACATGAAAATGTGGGCGTATAAAAAAACAAAACAATGGCAACAAATCACGGATGATAGAACTGTCAATTTCAAGCCAATCAACTTTGATCCGTTGATCATGTAACTACTGATCACTAAAACAACAGTAAATCAATGCTAACAATAGTTTCGCACATGTGCAAGTGCCCAGGAGCAAACACACACCAGGAGTCAATTCAAAACTGTCACACCGGTATTTACAATTTCATTCCACAATCTATCCTTCACACTTGCCATGCGAGGTTGAAGATGTGGTGACCATCAGCTGCACTGGTTTTAGTTCATAGTTCAATTGGCCAGATTGTGTCACTCACAGTCAAAATGTTCCAATATTTCTTCGGATTTAATTTATTTATAACTAGAAGAATGCCCGGCTTCGCTCGGGGGTCATAACCCCGAAACCGGAAGTGGTAGACTAACGCCACCTGGTCTATGTTACTCCCCGGTCCGAGCTACCCCTATACCCCAAATTTCAGACTCGGGGCAGACCTAGTGTAGCCGCCAACCCCGAACAGACAGACAGACAAACGACAGTCACAAATATTAGTATAGACATAGATAGATTAAAACACAGGTACTTTTGTGGTCGGCATACTATAGCTACCAGTCTCATTTATAAATCTAGTGTGTCATGCATGCATGTACTTACTAGAATAATACACAATTTTACAAGGATCAAACGATTTTTTTTTGTACTGTAAACATCAGTTCACCGACATCTACTGCTCTTCTTGACCTTTGACAGAACGTGCGCCACCAGTCCCGTTAAAGGGAAATAACTCTGTAAATCACCTATTTTTTTTAAAGAAATCGGGAATAAGACTAGTAATTCTCTCCTTATTGACTTTGCTGTTAACGCCAAGATATTTCAGGCCTATATGACAGTTTTTTTAAAATTTGTAATCACAATGAGCCCAACATAAACTATTGAAGAGTTTGACTGTTTTGATTTTCAACTAGGCCTTGTTAGAGGAATCTATTGCCGTATTGGCTGTGAGTGTGCAGACATCATTTTCTAAGGTGATTTCGTTAATTCATGTATGTGTACTTCTTGATCTTTCTGTCTCAAACAAAATGTGGCAGAAAATGTAAATTCAAACACTCTTCTAAAATTATAAATTAAAAACTCAACCAAAATTGCCATGTTTAAACGAACTGCTATAAGTATACAATCTCCATCTTTACTATCATGAAATTAGGGGAAATAATTGCTAGTCTTAATCCAGACTAACTTATCTTTGGATCAAAACTCAGGGGCGTCGTGCAAAAAAAAATTTCGGGGGGCGGGGGCGCCCAATTTTCTGCAAGTGTGTTCAAGGTAAACTGGAGCCGCCCACATCGAATGCCACAGGCATGAGCATGCAAGGGGGACCCGGAAAATTTTTAAAATTAGAAGCTGGGAAACGCCATTTCGATGGATTAGAGACAATAAAGTTATGATTAACAAATGGTCGTTTTTTTTAGTGATAATTGTAATTTATCACTCGAAAATTGAATAATATGTTATTCATCTCAACTTCGATTTAATTATTGAATGGACATTTCGAAAACAACTTCATGCAAAACCCCATTCCTTCCTCCATCCACCCCAACCTCTGCCAGGGTTATGGTCAAATACGTATTTAGATGTATTTGTATTTTAATAAAAAAAAATACTTTCAGTCTTTATTTTTGACACCCGTATATGGATATTTTATCAAATACAACATACAATCATAAATAGGGATTTTCTAGCTACAGCAAACTCTAATTTTCTTAATATTATGTAGATAAAGATTTTTTTTATTATTTATCAGAGTGTGTTTAACTGGGGTATTTATTTGTTGTAGCCTATTTGATCAATGGTAATCGGAAAAATTTGTGTTGTATTTGGAAAGCTAATGAAATGTACGTACACATGAAAATGTGGGCTTATAAAAAAAAAAACATCCCCTTTTGCATCAGGAGAGGTGTCATTATGAACAACAATGGAATTCAATATGTATACAATGACAATTACAGATTGGTATTATATTGTCATCAAATTAACCATCACCACCATGAACAGGGAAGGACTTAATGGGTCGAATGTCCCATTAAACAATACACTTGTCATTATGAGACTTAAATTAAGACAGTAATTTATATTTTTCAAAGTTACCTGTACAAGCCCAATAGACTGACTATTTTAACCTTCATGCATACCATTAAAACATGGAAAAAGGGCTGGAAAAAGTTTTATGGTCCATACTAGGGTTAAAATGAGGGGAAATTCCAGTGCGAGTCTAGTGTCAATGTCCACAAAAAATATATTCAATATTATCTGAACAAGCCAACAGTGAGGCTGATGTCCCCCGCCCAAATCCTAAAATAAATAGATGACACATATTAATTAATCGTACATTTATTTTTTTCAAAAGTATCAAGCAATCAAACTGATTATCAACTATACACTAAGTTTCATCACTCTCTATCAGATAGAATCAAAGTTATCTTGTCCAAAAGCATCGACCAATGAAATCGCTTAGCTCAGCTTAGCTTTAGAGGGAAATGTTAATCATTGAGCTCAGCCAAGACATTCACCTACTGAACATCTACATCAAGTTTAAACATTCTACCTCAATTAAAAGCAGAGTTGTTATCTTCCAAAGTCTTAACCAATCAAATTGCTTATCGATCCTTAGCCTAAGCAGACAATTCTCATCATCGAACTTAGTCAAGGTAATGATATGATGAATCTATACTCGGAGTTTCATCACTCTAACTTATCTATAACCAAAGTTATCATGCCCCAAAGCTTCAACCAATCAGATTGCTTATCTCTGCTTACCGTAAGCAGACAATGTTTATCACCAAATTGCTTAATGCTCTGCTTACCCTGAGCAGAAAATGCTCATTATCGAACTTACTCATGGTATTGATGTGATAAAACTATACACCAAGTTTCCTCATGCACTCTCACTTAATTTGAACTAAAGTTATCGCGTCCCAAAGCAACAACCAATCAAATTGCTTATATCTGCTTACTGTAAGCAGAAAATTCTCATCTTCGAACTCCATCATGGCATTCACCTAATAAACATCTACGCCAAGTGTGAACATTGTAGCTAAGTTAGAATGAGAGTTACTGTGTTCCAAAGTCTTGACCAATCAAATTGCTTATCGTTCTGCTTACCCTAAGAAGAAAATGCTCATTATCGAACTTAGTCAAGGTATTGATGTAATAAAACTATACACCAAATTTCATCATTTTCACTTAATTAGAACTAAAGTTATCGTGTCCCAAAGCATCAACCAATCAAATTGCTTATCAAGGCATTGATCTAATAAACACCAACACCAAGTTTGAACATTCTAGCTCAATTAGAAGAAGAGTTATTGTGTCCCAAAAAGTGTGACGGGCAGACAGACAGACAAACGAACCCATTTTAAGTCTAAGAGATAAGAGCGGCTATGAAGACTTAGTTATCCTGAGTGTCAGCGACTCGTTTCGTTTGTATTGAACTCTTCAGACTGATGGGATTTCCATTGTTACTAATTGGCGGGGTTACCGGGGTTAGCCTCTTGGCGGGGTTTGCGAATTTGTTACCGGGGTCGGTAGCTCACTTACCGGGGTTGTACAGAGGTTTGACAACTTGGCGGGGTTTGCGAATTTGTTACCGGGATCGGTAGCTCGCTTACCGGGGTTGTACAGAGGTTTGACAACTGATCATTTAGATTGAAGTGCTGGTGTCCAGAATTTTGCTAACAAGGATGCCTTTGGTTGGTTTGTAACATTGTTACTTGTCATAACAATAAAGGGATAGTATATATAGACAAGGTTTTGACGTAACAGCTGTGAGAGGGTTAAAAGGCTCAATATAAATCCAAAGTTGGAACACTCAGGGGTAGAGCATTGTAAAACAAACATAAAAATGGTTTGGGTGCCCAAGTTTAGATTTGTCGTTGATTCCATAAAGAAGTTAGGTTTTAAAACGTTAAATACTTTCTTCGAAAAGCGAGGGACAAATGAAATAGTAGGTATAACCTATTTTTCTGCACTGACCAGGCTAATGAAGACAGTGTGCTTTGAGGGAAATTTTGCCAGCAAGCAATTTTATTCCAACAGCCAATTTCTTTTTACATGCACGCCAACGTGTACATGTTACCCCAGTTTTTTGTCCCCATCCAAATGACTGACGAGGGGAAACCACGCTGGAAAATTCCAGGGAACTTTATATGCTGACTCACTGAGCCACCATGGCTCACCTGTAATTATGGAATCTTTTTTGGAAAGAACATAATTTTTTAATATCACCTGTAAAGCAAGAAATCAATGTATCAAGAAATTTATGCGACCAGATTGAGTTTCAAATATGTATTGCAATTAATGTGACCCACCTCACCCAAGTCTATTCTTAGAAAATGGTTGGGGTTGTTGCCTTTAAAGATGCATTATTTAAGATATATTAAGAGCTAGCCTTTCTTGCTATAATAGTTCAAAAATAGATAATGAAAAATGAACTAGAAATCCTAAGGAGTACTGACATGTTTTGGAATGTCACATCACATCACATCACGCCATGTCACATCAACATTCAAGTTACATCATAAATTATTGAGTATAGTAATATCCAATCCTTATTAAAGTGGAAAAACCTGTCATTTTGAACGCTTAATAAAACCGAAGTTATACTTCATGACTGAACTTTTTTATATTAATTGTTAGTAGACAATAGGGTCATCATACATACAAAGGTTAAGGGTCATGGAAAGATTAGGTCACCATCTCGAAGGTGAAAATTCGAACAAAGAGTGAAACCAGAAGTAAACAAAATCGAAATTCAAAAATAGACTCCTTAATTATTGTTGCCATTTGATGTAGGTTCAATACAAATAAAAAGATTTTGAAAATCGGAATTAAAATGGCGGCTGAATATTGATTTGAATTTTTTTTGTAAAATCCAATATGGCGACCAAGCGGTTCAAAATGTTATCGAACAAGGTCTTTGAAATGAAAGATAATTTCTGGGCTAACACCACCATATGACATTTTTTTGTCTATTTTTAAGATAGGTTGCCAGGCAACAAAACATAAGCCCACATCAGCTAAATCGTACGAGCAGTTGACAAGGGTTGTCGCATATTTATTCTTTTGTAGGTAATTAGGGGCATTAAATAGACAATTTCATACAGATAACATTATAATTTTCGTCGTTTGAGGATTCACAAGGTTCTAAAAACTAAAACATGGGTCATAAGACTGGAAGTAATCTACAGAAATTGTTGACAGGCTTTTTCATTTTACTAATTCAAATAATGCATATAAATTTCATACAGATTGATGATAACTTTTGTCGTTCGAACGTTCACAAGGTTCAACAAAGTAAAACAAGGGCCATAACTCTAGAAGTAATTGACTGAAATTGCTGACATTCAATAGGATTCTTCATTTCACTAACTTAAATGATGCATATGAATTTCATACAGATTGGGTGATAACTTTTGTCGTTCGAGCGGTCACAAGATTCAACAAAGTGAAACAATAAGGGCCATAACTCTAGATGTAATTAACGGAAATTTGCTGAAACTCAATAGGCTTGTTCGTTTTACTAATTTAAATGATACATATAAATTTCATACAGATCGGATAATAACTTTTGTCATC